TTACATGAAGCAGGTAACGGTGGTTGCTAAACGGAAGCTGCTGCAAAAACAAAAGGCCTACAGAGTCCTGGACTTACGACAAGGGGGTTTGCTTAGCGACGGTTCAAAGTTACAACGGCGCTGGAAAAGTGAACTTGGGGACTATTTATCACACTTACACGGACATTTGCAGCATCCCCAGGGTCCCACGTCGATCAAAATTAACGATGCTTGGCAAACTGGGCTTGTATTTATGACGGTTGCCGTGGTCCCAGGGAGGGTCACGTGACCCCTCTTTTGCGACCTACTGACAAAGCAAAAAGTCAATGGGAAGGACAAACCACTCAACAGCCGGTTCCTAATTGACAAACTGCATGATTCACTTAAGCAGCATGTAGCAAGGAAGGTCATAAACTGGGACAAAATTACTTAACAAAGTGTCTCAACCAAATAATATTGTGCTAAATTGTCGTATGTCTAGACTTACCTCTGCCTGTAAGATCCTACCGACAATTGCGTTATCACGACCTTGTTGCTGCCCCAATTATAGTCGCTTGCATTTTTTTAAAATCGGAAATGATATTATTACCTCTAATCTGGCTACTTAGCATAAAATACAATAGTCCTCCAGTAGGGGATGGCAGTGGGACCATAAATTTTCCGTCCCTAAGTGATGCTCTTGTAAAATGTTCCCATAAACAACATCGCTTGTGATAACAGTCTTGGTAATCCCGCTGCCATTATAACCAGAGACTGTATGGTCACTCAGAGAGGACTTCGGGCAACAGGACAGATGGTGAGAGCTGCAAAGGGTAGATGAGTCCCCTAGGTCAGAGGGTCCCCGAACCTTTTGGGCACCAGGGGACAGTGCCATGAAGAAAGGTTTTTCTGTGGACCAGCGAGGGTGTGGTTTTGAATACTGCCTGCATAACGAGGAAGAGTTGTTGCTTGTTTTTGCGGCCCATTGTTGGCATGTGCGGACCGGATTGCCCGGTCCATGGATGGGGGCTGGGACCCCTGCCATCAGTGGAGCTGGTGGACCAAAGGCATGGCTGGCAGGAGCCACAGGCGGGCCGCTGGGGGTTCTTGAACAAACACTATAGTAGTGGTGGGCGAACCTATGGGCACGGGTGGCCAGAGGCCGGCACTCAGAGTGCTCTCTGTGGGCACGCGCGCCGCACCCCAGTCTGGCCTTCAGCTGGGTTTATAAAACCTTTTCGCGCTTTTTTTTCCTTCCCATTTAGGCCTCCGCTGCGTGTGCAAAAAAAAAAAAAAAAAAAGGTTCAGTCAATCAGTCAATTCAACTTTACGGGTGAAAAAAAAAATCTGCAAAGTTGGGGAACTGATGATTGAAACTTTTTAGTACCACCACCCAGTCTGCCGTTACCAAGCAGCCACGGCAGCCAATAGGCCAAACCCACCTGGCACCGACGATGCATAGTGGGTTTTTGGGTTGCAGTTTGGGCATTCGGTCTCTAAAAAGGTCGCCATCACTGCACTAAGAATGTGGTGGATTGTGATGATGTTATGAAGTGTGGGCAGGGGTGGGGGGAGGAGCTTATAGGGAGAGGCTGATGGTGAGGAGCACAACAGAGTATTCAGATCTCTGGGCTGTTTTACTCGTAGTTGCAGTATTTCGCAACCTGACAATTTTAAGGCATGTGGACTTCAACTCACGAATGCACAGCCAGCATTTGCTGGCGTGGAATTCTGGGAGTGAAAGTCCACATGCCTTAAAATTGTCAAGGTTTGAGAAACACTGCAGTCCCAGTAGCAGAGCTTACAAGAATGCTGCGAAATTTCTGTCAACTCCCTCACTGATTAGCTTTCCGAAGCTGTTGGGTAGGGTTTTCAGTGGCGTGAACATGATGGTGCCCCTCCATCGTCATAATCTACATTAATCACAATCTCGTGACTACAACAGACGTTTGCTGACTCCTGGAACTTTTGAGCAAGGTTGTAATCCCCCCATTCCAGCACCGTCATACTTGAAAGGCAAGGTAGCCTTTGAGTAGCCGCGAGGCGAGGACTCCTCAATATTCCCTCGCTGATCTTCCCTTTAACCTTTTTGTTCCATAATAATAATAATAATAATATAATGCCTTGGTAAGGCACACTTGGAATACTGCATCAGTTTGGTTTTTAAAAAACCAAAGGGATGTAAAAGAGAGGTGAGATTCTAGAACAGTGGTTCTAACTGTTGGGTGGGACCCATTGGGGCGAACGACATTTCACGGGGTCACAAAAACATAGGCTGTCACCATTTTTTCCCCTTTTCTTGGCCATGGCCCTGGCACCGTTGATATATAAGTGGTTGGGGGGGTCACACAACATGGGGAACTTCTATTATGGGGCGCTGGCATGAGAAGGTTAGAACCACTGCCTAGAAAGAGTACAGAGAAGGCAACAAGATGATTAGGGGACTGGAGGCTAACACATATAAGGAACGGTTGCTGGGAATGGGCTGTCTAGTAATGAAGAGGAGGGGATACATGATAGCAGTGTTCAGTATCTCAGGGCTGCCTAAAGAAGAGGGAATCAAGCTATCTCCAAAGCATCTGAAGGCAGTACAAGAAGCAACAGATGGAATACTAATCAAGGAGGAGAAGCAACCTAGAAATAAGGAGAAACTTCCGAGAGTGATAACAAATAATCAGTGGAACAATGGCCTCAGAAGCAATGAATGCGCCAACACTGAAGTTTGTAAGAAGAGACTGGACAGCATTTGTCCGAAATGGTATAGGGTTTCCGCCTGAGCAGGGGGTTGGACTAGATGACTCCAAGATCCCTTCAACTTTACTATTATTATTATTATTATTATTCATTATATTATTATTATTATATTAGTACTTCTACTTCTTCAAGTTCTTAGCATGGAGGAGGAAAAGACTTTATTAGACAGGCAAATGTACCTACTAATTATTCTGACTTCGCAGAGATTTTGATTTGGCAATTCAGGACTTCACCATTGGCTCAGAAAGTAGTATGGTTTCTGCCATTTAAATGCCCCAAATAGATCCATCTCCCCCAACTTGTTGAGTGCTGCAAAATCAGGAGGGAGGGAGAGCGGCCCGGTGCAAACTCATGCAGGATTTCTTTAAATTGAATCAACTTACCTTTTTTCCCCTCCAGGGGGTTCCCCCCCCAAAAATACAATGCTAAAACATCCCAAATTGGAAGAGAAGAAGAAGCCTTGAGATGGTGAAGGTGAAGATTCCCTGGACATAAAAGCAAGAGATGGATGGGAGAGGACCAGTTCCCTAGTAAGGATGCAGCGTGTCAATCATTGCAAATGTTTCTGGGGTGCTTTGAGCCAATGGGATCTCTGCTCCGTTTTTGAAAACCAGGGACAGGTGACAGAATCTGCAGACTAGTTTTGGTGCGCACAGCTTCGATCAGGTGATCAGCAAAGCTGAGGAAAGAGGGACAGTCCCAGTTCCCATTACAGAATTTGGGTTCATAAAATTCTTTGGTCGAAAAAGATTAGGTTGCGCGTGGGTAGGAAGACCTGACTGCTGGAAAACCTAGAGACCTGCCCAGTGAGAATGTAATATTGGACCAGGTACCCCCATGTTCCTTATACTGTCAGGTGAATCAATAATGTAATAGAACCAGGGCTAGGGCAACCTAGGCTCTTTTAGGCTCGTGGACTTCAACTCCCGAATTTCCTGAGCCAAGCATGGCTCAGCTTGGAAACATCTCCCTTTCCCCCTCAGCATGGCTGGCTCAGGAATTCTGGAGTTGAAGTCACCAGTCATAAAAGAGCAAGGTTGCCAACCTGTAAGACTATGAGCCATCGTGTGAGTATTAGTGAAAATACAGTGGACGACTTTTGCATGTAAACTAGATCTGTAACTAATCACCATACGGAGGATAGAACATATATTAAGGAGGCCATGGAAGTCCAAAAATTTGGTCAGGGTAGGAATGACAAAGTTAGCACCCCACGACACAACCTATTTAATTTTGCCTGGCTTAACAAAGGGGAACTTCCCACCCTTCTGGCCCACTCTTTATCGATCTTATTGGCACAGATGGTCAGGAATGAAGGATTCTGGAACTGAAGTTGGCATCTAGGGAAGGCCGAAGCATAGCTGTAATGTGGTAGGATGGATTGGAAGAATGTTGCATAGGACCCACCAATGATCGGTTTCACAATGTTAATGACGAGACCATTCATTGTATATAGTAGAATATGGTTCAGAACATGTTCTACTAGAACAAGCTCAGGGTGTAGGCAACCTTGGGGCTCTTTTCTGATCATGGACTTGCACATTCCCAGCATTCATGAGCCAGCCATGCTGAGGGAAAGGGAAAGGTTCCCAGCTGAGCCATGCGCGGCTCGGACTTCTGGGAATTGAAGTCCACGAATCCTAAAAGAGCCGATCGTTGCCTACCCCTGGGTTAGTCCTAGAAGAGTCTTCTTGATGATGGGGTCCCCCCAAACCAGGGGCTTCAGGTAGATGCTGGCATGGCATCAAATGAGGATGCTTGAATTTGGGATTTCTTAGGTCAAATGGGAGGGGGACGACTTGACCTGTGAGGAGACCCTCCAACACTAGAATTCGTAGCAGAAGTTGTTTGAAGTAGAATTTATTGTTGGGGACAATTAGACATAACAATAAATGCTTTTCTGTTTCTCTCAGAATATGACATATGACAGATGCAGAAGAAGAAGACCTTCCAGGTGAGAAGATCTGAAGAAATAAGACATTTGCAAGAGTTTGGAATGAGTCAAAAGATTATTTTTCTGGGGTTCTGGGATTCAAGGAAAGCCAATAAATCCAGTGGGAGACAAAGGCACTCATGAAAGAAAGCCAGTGAAGCTTTTCTGTCGGACAAAGGTGATCAAAGCTCAAATGAAGCCAATTTTTCAGTTTGGGAAAAAGGCGGGAATTAAGAGGAGCCTGAGATAGCGTGCAACCCTCACTGTTCCAAATACTCCACATGTGCAATCAAAGGATAACCTGCATAAATATCCCTGTGAGAAAATTCACAGCAAACCCTCTTTTATTCAACAGGGGAACACTCCCTCTGCAAGAGAAAACTGTATTTGCTCAGAGTATGGGGAATTGGGTTGGAAAACAAAGCTGATGAAGCACATGAGAATCCACACAGCAGAGAAGTCATAAAAGTCCAAATTCCAGCAAAGGTGTTCAATGCAAAATCTGAATAAACACAAGAAGTCCCATCTAGGAGAAAAAGCCATACAAATGCAACGAATGTGAAAAAGCTTTTGCAGGGCAATAGGGGATTCTGGTCAAGCCCCTGAGGATCCACAGGGGAGAAAAGCCATACAAATGCTCTAATTGTGGCAAAAGCTGCATTGATCAAGATGCCGTCATCAAACACAAGAGGGACATACAGAAGAGAAGCCCCATGAATGCCAAATCCAGCTTGGTGGCCCACTAACAGATTCATATAATCACACGAACGCTCAGTGTGTGAAAAAGTTTCTGTAATTTTTCCATATTTCATAAACACGTGAAAATCCATCTATGAGGAACAGTCTAGCTGGCAGGATTGGTGTTCATTTTAAACAGGCAGCTTCAGGGGGACAATATTAGCAGACGGTTGAGAGCCGAGCTCAAGAGGCATTGGTGGTTTCTAAAAAATATTGACACATTAAAATGTTTTTAAAATAGACTTGTTTCACATTGAAGTTCTTCGTTCAAGTCTTGGGATCGCCAGCAGGTTAGAAGTGACCCTTTTGTGCAGTCTTGGTAATTACTGTCAGCTGGGATGGGCAGAACTGAATAGATCAGTGGGTTGATATCTGCAAAGGTTATTGCTCTGTGCTGTTTTGGCGCCTTCCTGAATATATTTGGCCTCCACAGAGGTTTTGGGAATGGAGCTGCAACCTGACACCTTACAGTAAAACCTATTCAGTAGGGAAGATTTGGGTAGCAAAGAAAAAGGGATTTTTCTGGAATTGCCCTCATAGGTCCGCACATACTCCTCACCCTTATAGTTTTATCAAAGCCTGCTTGGTTCTCTCTCCTGTGATTAGATAAATGAATCCTGTGGTTAAAATACCATTTCAAAATACCAGAGTCATTTGAGAGTCAGGTGGCATACACACAACATACAAATTTAATGAGTAATAATGCTCTTATTTGCTGATATTTTTAAAGAATTTATATGACTGCTCCTCTCATAAAAACAACTCTGAATGGCAAGAATGCAATCTAAATAAAACAATTTAGATTGATAAACTACACCAGTGTTTCTTAATCCCGGCAAATTGAAGATGTGTGGACTTCAACTCCCAGAACTCCCCGGAATTTGCTTGTTCAGGCAAAAAGAGAGGTGAACTGAGACTGAATGTGCATCATGTTTCCATTCTCCCAGATTAGAGTCTTAAAAATTTGATTCCCTTACCCACAAGATCCTTGAAACTTTTAGGGTGGTCTTGATTGACAGGAAGATTCTTAAGATGTGATGGGCCTATAAACCAGGCCAGACTTCACTGCTGTGCTTGCCATCTTGACTTTATTGATCACACTCTGCGGACATCCCGTTCTTCGATGAAAAAGCAGTCTTAATAAACTAAAAAATGTCTAAAATGAAACCAAGGGTTTGCTTTAAGAGCAAAATTTGTTAAACGTTAAAATGTTGGAAACAGACCTAGAACCATGAATATAGGAAAATATTTTGTTATTTGCTGGGAAAATATTTTGTTCTTTTGCTGCACTGAGTTTGTAGAAAATAATGTATAAAAATAAAATTATCATTACTGCTGTTTGAGAGGTGCACACATTCATTCTCTTCCTCCTCAGTTCCCGTTTATTTATTTTTTCCTGACGTAACCCTCTGAATGGCTCAATCTGCAAATTCTGCACAGATGAAAACTCAGGTTGATTTTGGCGGGATTGAGAAAATAACCATAATGACTTGGCTTAATACGAGGATGGGAAACCACCAAGAAACCCTTTAGAAGAGGCATCACGTAGGAAACCAATAGAAGCTTCTCTTCCTTTGCACTGTCAAGGAAACAAGGTGGACTTACTTATCAATCAGAATAGAGCTGGAAGGGACCTTGGAGGTCTTCTAGTCCAACCCCACCCCCGCTCAAGTAGTTTTTGTTGGTGATAAACAGATACAAGTGAATTCGCCAGATTCTTGGAGAAGTCCATCAATAGGTAAGATGCTCCATACGGACCTGCAGTAGCCAGGCATCGCTGAATATCAGACTGGTAGCGAGCAATAAAGGGGGAGCGTACGAGAGAAGCAACCTGGAATTAAGGAGGAACTTCCTAACCGTGAGAACAAGCAAGCCAGTGGAACGGCTTGCCTTCAGAAGCTGGAGGTGCATCGCTGGGGTTTTTTTTTAAAGAAGTGACTGGACAGCCACTGGTCTGAAACGGTATAGGGTCTCCTGCTTGAGCAGGGGGTTGGACTAGAAGACCTCTAAGGTTCTTTCCAACTGTATTCCGATTAAGAATTGAGAACTGAAATGAAACACCACCCCCCCCCCCACCCCGAAACAAAACTCCCAAGCTTTAAACTGCAAATCCACCCTCGAGGCTTCCTTTCCCGGCGAAGCGCAAAAAGAGTTAAAGCCATAAAGCTCCGCCTCCTAGAGTGGCAGCTCAGAGGAGGTGCAGCTGGCCTTTGCCCCTTCCAGTCCGGAGAGGGCGCGGATGGGCGGCGAGCCTGCAGCCCCATCTGGAAGGGAGGCGTGTGGCCGGCAGGTCGGGGGCGAGGCGGCGCGCCGGCTGAGAGGAGAGGCGGCGGCTCTTCCCGCGGCAGAGGGTCGTTGCCTGGAAGGAAGGAAGGAAAACCGGCAGGCGCGGGGCTTCCCGGGGAAGAAGGTAGGGGTCTCCTCTGGATCGGGGAGCTGCTGGAGCAGCGGCGGGGGTCCCTTTTTTTGCTTCGCCTCCCGCCCGCTCGTGCATGGCAGCCCAGAGGCTGAGTCCTTTGCTCTGCAGGTGCAGTTCAAGAGGCACTTTTGCACTTATTTGGGGGGGGGGGGCGAGGGAGGGAATTCCTCCTTGCATCTGAGATCTCAGACTCTTTATTTCCCATCTCCCTGACTCTTTTGATCCGATCTTTTGAATGGGGCAGCTGGGACTCCTGGCGATTGCCTTGTCTCTGCCCGTTGTCACCGGTCCAGTTTTGATAGTTGCATTTCTTGCGACGGGGTAATAAGATGTCGGAGTGCGGTAGAGACCCCCGTAAACGAATTGCATCAATTATTCTATCCGTATCGCGTGTATCCAGTTTGCTAGAATTTTATTTCACCGCGTTGTTGGAAATGTTTGCCATTGAGAGGGGTGACTGTTGGGTAGAATTTCCCGTCAAAGGTATACCTCGTTTACCAACCGACTCGTGCAGTGACCATTTTGACTAAGTATTTTTTAAAAAATCTTTGAGGACCTTTGCAGCGACTCTCACTATTCTGATAGTGATGTGATTGTTATATATTGGTTTTGTAGGGGACCCAATCTCATCTGTTCAACTCCGGTGGCTCTCAAAAAGTAAAAATAAGAATTAAAAAAAGAAGTTAAACCTAGAGCTGCCTCAGCAACATGGGCAGGTCTAAATAAATAAAAATAAACAATATGCAAATATGTAAAAAAAAAACCCTATCCATACAGGTAGTGCTTGCTGTACGACTGCAGTTGACCCTGGAATTATGGTCAAATGTCATGCTGGTTGCTAAGCGGGTCACCACATGACTGCCCCCGATTTTACAGCCATTTTTGCAACACTAATTAAGGGGATCTATTGTCTGTTATGGGTGGTTTTTGCTGGAAACCAGAAGTAAATGCCGGTTTCCGGCCAAAAAAGCATAAATCACAATCATGTGACTGTGGGATGCTGTAAATGGTGGGCTGATCATGTGACCATGGGGAGAGGGGGAAAGCAGAGGTGGAGCTTTGAATCCAGGTCATAAAGGTCCATTGTAAGGGCACAAAGAGACGGGTCGTAAGTTGAGGACTACCTGTAATGAATTTCACAACGTAAAATCACAGCCAGCCAGCAGCAGAATTCACTCTAGTCTATAGCATCTGGATACAGACCGGTAAGAATCTCACACCATTTTCAAGACCCCCAGGCACAATTGATTGGGTTAAGACCAATCAAAAGTCGGGGGGGGGAGGGGTGTTAATGCCTTCTGCCGCAACCATTGGAGCTTCTTGCAATGAAAAAAGAATTGCTTTGTGACTTATTCCCACATTTATGACTGTTGCAGTGTACTGGAGTCACATGTTCGTCATTCCTCCCCTTCACAAGTGGCTTGCGACACACAAGAGTCAATAGAGAAGCTGGCAGTAAAATCAGAAGTAGCAATCACATGATTGTCTGCTTAGCAACCAGGCCCCTTTGCTGAACAATTGAAGGGGAAGTGACATCATAAACTCTTTCACGGGTGGTGATTTTCTGCTTAGCGACCAGGGTGCTTAGCAACTGAGTTTCCAGCCTGACCTGTGGTTGCTAAGAGAGGAATTATCTGTGTATCTGTATCGATCTCTGTAGGAAATAAATTAGCTTGGCTGTTCACTCACAACTAAGCAAGCTAAGCTAGTGTAGGGTGGAATGACCAGGCCCTAAACTAAATTGCTAATCAAATAAAGAGGCCTTTATAGCCCTTTGAAAGGCCAGTTTTCCCCAGAGACCAAAGAAGCTCATTCCAGGTTTACAAGACTTTGTAAGTAAAAGGCCCAAACTGGGAGAGGGACATGGGAGGGGACTGGGAGAATTGAAGCACCAGCACCCGTGGCTTCAGCTGAGCCCAGGCGTCTAATTCATTCATTCAAGCAGGCAGGGAATGATGTTTATTCCAATGAGACAATATTTTGCAAATTTTAAAGAAGTAATGAATACTAGAGATGTAGAAAATGATCTTTTTATGCCTGGCACATTGCTGTGGCTCTCAATAATATTTCCTTCTTCCTTTCCTTCTTCGTCCTGGAACTGCAGAGAGGAACAATGATGGAGGAACAGAGGCTCATGGTAATGAAAGAAGAAGAGAGAGCTGAGAATGGGGGAAGAGATCCTTTCATTGTCCAAGTCAGGACCATCGGGGACAGTTTGACCGGGGATGGCCCATCCCACATTAAGATGGAGTCACAGGAGGAAATTCACCAACGCTGGGATTTTCAGTGGCAGGAATTCCTGAAAAGGGTGGCAGCGCTTCCCGCAGCTCTGCCTCCCTTGGACGACGATGCCAGAGGTTTCCAGGTCCCCTGGGGGAGAATTAAGGAAGATCCACCAGAAGAGAGCTCTGGAGAGTTCAGAGGGGAACCTGTGCTCCAAAGAGATCCAAACATCAGTGGGAAAGCGTGGATGGACAGGGAAAAGCTGGATTTCTGCATGAAGGTGAAGGTGGAAGAGACTCTGGAGGAAGTTGACCTGGAGAGCCAGTGGCCCCTGCAGCTCAGGCAGTTCGGCCCCCAGGATGCTGAGCAGCACCAGGAGGTATCCAATCCCCAAAGGGCAAAAAAGGAAGGGGAATGGGGGGGGCACGACATGGGAGGGGGAGGTTGCCGAAAGCTATGAAAATGCTAAATTATAAAATGGGCTACTAGCCAGCTACAGTAGCAGATGTCAGTTTGTATTTCAATGTTGGTTGCAAGAGCCCTGTGAAAAGATGATGATTAGCCTAGCAAAGATATTCCTTGACTGACAACCATTCCTTCAGCCACCCATCGTCCAGTTTACAACAGTGCTGAAAGAATAGAGCAGACATATCAAACACAAGGCCCAAGGGCTGGATACAGCCCGCGAAGTGGTTTCATGTGGCCTGCGAAGCCATCCTGGAAACAGTGAGGGAACGGCCCCCTCTGCCTTGGCCCTGGCTCAGGCCGGCCAGGAACCAATGTACAATTTTGTGGTGGCCATCTATGCTGAAACGCATTCAGTTTTAGCTCCATAAGCCCCCGCCCCCCCGCCTGGCCTGAGAGGAACAGTGAGGCTCCTCCAGTGGACCACGCCTTGGCACTTGCCCCTGGTCCCACCCCTTTCTGCCAGAGACCCTCAGTTCTGTCCCACTCCTGCTCAGTCCCCCACAGGCACCCTTGATGCGAACGATGTAGAGCTGGCCACACCCATCCAGTAGGCCACACCCACTCCATCCACGCCCACCCAGTAGGCTGCACCCACCCTGGCCACACCCACCCAGCCCCCTGAGGGCAACCGCAATGCTGATGCGGCCCTAAATGAAATTGAGTTTGACACCCCTGGAATAGAGTTACAACTGTCCATGAGCCCCTGTGATCTCGTGATCCAAATTTCAGACCTCGGTAGCCTGCCCACATATACGATCACATGGACATTTCAACTCCCTCCGCCCGTGTATCTTGCCTTTCATCTCTGCCCTTTTAGGTATCTTGCACTTTGCCACATACCGTTGTTGCCCCCCTACCACCACTGTCCCCAGCTGATCTTTGCCCTCTTCTTCTTCCTGCTGGTGCCCCAGGAAGCAGTCTCTAAGTGCGGGTACAGACCTGGAATGTCCACACTGAGCACAGCAGGGTAACAGAGCCTCATCTGCCAAAGGGAGCTTGCCAGGCCCAGCCAGGGTAGAGGCAGCAGAGTGGCAAGGCAGAAATCCTGGCAGCAGGTCCATGGACGAAGGTGGCAGCAGATCTTTTTTTTTTTTTTTTTTAATTGAATTTTTTCAAAAATTTTACAGATAAACATCCACCCCCCCCAACCACCCCACCCTCCCCCCCCCGACTTCCCAGAACTGAATATAGGATTATTTAACAAATTTTAAAAATAACGTTTACAATTTATAAGATAATTAATAATAATAATAAAAATCGTGATCATAATATATATAATAATAATATACATAACATAAGCTTTAAAGTAAATAATATATACTAAAAGAAAAAAAAAGAGGTGGTGGCAGCAGATCTTGACGCAGTGGAGGGACGTGGACTCACCAAAGCTGCAACGTACCCTCTGTGTAGCTCGTGTTGGAAGCGCCCCTGGAAAACCAACTTAAGGGCTTCTGTGAGGGGTGGCAATGAGCCCAGTGTGGCAAAGCCTACTGCAGTAACGGCAAACCTTTTAGAGACGGAGTGCCCAAACTGCAACCCAAAACCCACTTATGCATCGTTGAGTGCCAGGTGGGTGTGGCCAATTGGGTGGGCGTGGCCAATTGGGTGGGGGAGGCTGCTGTGGTACCGGCAGATTGGGTGGGACTAAAAAGTTCAATCAATCAATTCCAACTTTGCAAGATCTTTCTTTTCCTGCGAGAAGTTGAAATTGACTGATTGATTGAATCTCTTTTTTTTTTTTTTTTTGTACACGGTGGCAGAGGCCTAAAGTGAAAAGGTTTTATAAAACCCAGCTGAAGGCCTAGGACTGGGGCGACGGCGCGCGTGCCCACAGAGAGGGCTCTGAGTGCCGCCTCTGGCACCCGTGCCTACCGCCTTCCCAGCTCTCTTCTCTCAGCCCAGCCTTTGGCAAAGTCTCATAAACAGCCAGCAGCTTCTAACATGCGCTGCCGAGTACACATCAGAATGCCCTTGGAGAATGTGAGCATATTGGATGCTACAAGAAGAAGGCTGGCTCAAGAAGGAGTGCAGGCGCGGAGATCTGCCGGCTTGGGGATCTCCTCCACCCTTGCTGAAGCCTGCATCTTAGTTTTCTAGAACAGCTTCCAGATGCTGTGTGTTTCCTGGAAGGCCATGTTCCTCTGCTTCCTCCAGTTCTGCTGCCACCTCCTCTTGCTCCTTTCCTGCCTTACCTGGTAATCACCCCTGCCTCCTCCCTGGCTGGGCCTGTCAAGCTCCCTCCAGCAGACAAGGGTCCAATGTCCTGTCAACACGCACATTCCACCCTCACCCAGCACCTGGATTCCAGACCAGCAGAAGGAGGAGGAAGACCGCGAACTGTGACGGGTAGACAGCAGAGTGTGGAGTAACAAAAAGGGGGAGAGATGGAGGGAGAGATGGAGGTTTGGGGAGTTGAAGGTGAGTGCTGGAGAGCAGGAGAAATGTGAGTCTTTGCCTAATTGATCTCGCTGGCCTAGCCTAAGGACTACAGCTGGGTCAGCTGGAAGTGCCGTAGCTAAGCAATACAGCCATGTGATTTGGTGTAATGACCGCATCGCTTAGCGACAGAAATTCTGTTCTCAATTACCGTTATAAATGTTGAGTATTTTCTGTAGCCTCACAACATAAATCCCTGGGTTGCTGCTAAGGAGACTGGGGGGGGGGGGTGTTTCTATTTGTCTATGTGGTAATCAAGAGGTTTGCCCAGAAGGGAATATTTTGCAGCAAATGATTTTGAGGTGAAGGATTATAGAAAGGCCGAGGGGGAAACTGTGTGGTGGCCTAGAGGTGGAGTTCTCGTTTTATAATCAGGAGGCTGTGAGTTCGATCCTAGGTAGCCACAGATATTTCTCCCTCTGGGCACAAAGAGAAAATGTCTGCTGCGGGTTCTGTGTAGACATCAGGAAGGGCATCCAGCCATTAAACACTCAGCTCCATTCAGTCCACCCCGACGCAAAGGATTACAGGATCTTGTAAAAGAAAATAAAAAAGCAGAGAGGGGTGGTGAAAGCGCTTTCAGACGTTCTGTTTTGTTGAGTATGCCATGATCAGGGAAAGCAATCTTGACCTTTGTTATAGAAGATAAAGCTGTTTTGGTTGATCCTAATCAGGGTTGTTTGTCAATTGCTTCAGGTAAAGGCATCGCTACAAGGACTTTTGTGGGGGGGGGGTCAAACCTTTCTAATCCCGATCTAACGCAGTGCTCCCCAAAATGCTTCAGATGTTCTCACCATCCTCACCCTGCAGTACAGAGGTGAGGGACTGTGGCCCCTTTATGACTTGTGGACTTCAACTCCCAGAATTCCTGAGCCGGCCATGCTTTGTTGCAGTCCACAAGTCATAAAAGGGCCATTGTTCCTCACCCCTGGTGGAGGATGAAAACATCTCAGCTTGAGGAAGTCTGGATTTTTAACAGCACCAGCTTGGGGAACTCCAGATGAACATAAGAGTCATTTGGATCCCCTTCAGTCGGGATTCATGCCTGGGTACGGGACAGAGAAAGAGCATTGGCTGTGCTTTTGAATGACCTCTGGCATTAGCGGGATGGCGGTTCTGCATCCATCCTTACTCTGCTTGACTTCTCAGTGGTCTTCGATGCTGTCAGTCATGGTATCCTTCTGGATTGGCTCCTGAGATGGGGGGTGGGTTGCACGGGATATCTCCTCCTCAATCCATGGTCCATGCCGGTCCGGTCCATGGTGCTGGGGGAGGGGATCCAGTCCTCAGCCCCTACTGTGTGGGGTGCCCCAGGTTCAGAGCCTGCGGATGCAGGAAGGGGCACACATTGGGTGGATTGTTTGAGGGGCTGCCTCTTCCAGATTACATGAGAGAGGGAGGGAGAGAGAGAGAGAGAAAGAGAGGGAGGGAGAGAGAGAGAGAGAGAGAGAGAGAGAGAGGGTGCAAAGATCTCTGCTGTGCTGCTGTCTCATAGAACAGGGGTCCTCAACCTTGGCAACTTTAAGATTTTTGGACTTCAACTCTGGGAGTTGAGGATTCCTGTTGAGCCAAGGTTGAGGATTCCTGTCATAGAAAATTCCCTCACGCAGCAATGCTAGTGTTATTTGAACTCTGGCGTGTTTTGTTGTCAGGTGCAGAAATTTGGTCAGAGGTGTGCACCTTGGCCAGAAAATTATTCTTTCCCCCCCTCCCATCATTTACTACCATCCTATTTGAGAATGGTCATTAACTGGCGTAACTAAAAGGAAGAGTGACTTTATTGTGGCTTGCGAATCTAGGGTTAGACTTACGTCGTGAGAAGCCAGGGAAAGGTTTATATAAGCCAAGAAGCAGTAGATTTATTTTTATCCCAGCTTTGTTAATTGTTATAAATAACTCAAAAGCGGCACATATAGCCAATACTCCTTCCGCCTCCTATTTTATCCACAACAATCCTATGAGGCGATTTGCGCTGGGAGAAAGTAATCGGCCCAAAGTCACCAGGCCAATTTTTCCATGCCTAAGGCAGGACTAGAACTCGCATTTTCCTGGTGCCTTTACCACTAGACAAAATTGTGGCTTAACCAAATTGCCCAGAATGAGGTATAGCCACTCCTCATTTATCAACCATCTCAGTTAGCGACCGTTCGCACATACAACACTAATAAAAAAACACGATTTTCTATCCAAATCTGCCTTTATGAGCTTCAAAGCATCTCTTGTCAATTACATCTTCAATATTACAGGTAGTCCTCAGCTTACAACCATTTGTTTGGTCTCCATTCGAAGGTACAACAGCACTGAAAAAAGTCACATAACTGTTACGGCATCCCCAGAGTCATGTGATCAAAATTCAAATGCTTGGCAACTGACTCATGACGGTTGTAGTGTCCCGAGATCATGTGATCCCCTTTTGTGACAAGCAAAGTCAACGGGGAAGCCAGAATCAAGTGACTTAACAGTTGTGTTACTAACTTAACAACTGCAGTGATTCACTTAACAGCTGTAGAAAGAAAGGTCATAAAATGAGCAAAACTCACTTGTCTCGCTGAGCAACAGGAATTTTGGGCTCAATTTGGTAATAGGTTGAGGACTACTTGCACAGTTAATATTGCATATATATCCTGCTCTTATTTTCACTTTTCTTTTTTTTAACCTGCATTTATATCCCACGCCAAGATACCTTCAAAGAGAAAGCACCCTGGTTCAGCTGAAGTGAGCAGCAAGAAGCAGAGGAAAGCCATCGATCTCAATTTGAAGATGAAGATCATCAAAGCGTACGAGGCCGGGAAGAAGGTGACTAAAATAGCGCGAGAAGTAGGCCTGGCCCATTCCACCATCTCCACCATTTTGAAGGATAAAGCGAGGATCCGAGAGGCCTTAAAAGGAGCAGCGGGAATGAACACAAGCATAACCAGACAGCGAAAAGGCCTCATCCACGAAATGGAAAAACTCCTTATCCTCTGGATTGAAGATCGGATACAGAAGAGGTTGCCGGTGAGTCTTCTCCTCATTCAGAATAAGGCCCGCAGCATTTTCTCCATGCTGAAGGAACAAACGGGCGAGGAGTGCACCGAAATATTCACTGCCAGCCACGGCTGGTTTATGCGGTTTCAGCAACGATTTCATTACCAGAAAACACAGGCGTCAGCTGAAGCGGCGAGGGCTGACGAAGAAGCTGCCCGACATTTTCTGAATGAACTCGACGGTATCATAGCCGAAGGGAACTATTTCGCTGAACAGATATTCCGTGTGGACGAAACTGGGTTGTACTGGAAAAGAATGCCGGAGCGGACCTACCTACACAGAGAAGCCCAAGCCATGCCTGGGTGCAAAGCGTTTAAGGATAGAGTAACCTTACTATTGGGTGGAAATGTCTCCGGATTCAAGCTGACGCCATTTCTGATCCTCAAATCAGATCACGCCTGTATGTTCGAAACCATAAGAAAAGACCCACTGCCCGTTTATTACCGATTTGATTGGAAGGCCTGGATGACGCCCATCCTCTTTGAGGATTGGTTTACGAATTGTTTCATACCCCAGGTAAAGGAATATTGTGGGCAAAAGGGGGTTCCTTTTAAAATTCTCCTTCTCCTAGACAAAGCACCTGGACACCCCCCACATCTTGACAGTCTCCACCCCGATGTAAAGGTGGTTTATCTACCCCAAAACACCTCGGCTCTCCTACAGCCCGTGGGAGAGGGGATGATCTCCGCATTCAAGATGTACTATTTGCACGCGGTGTTTGCCAAAGCCTTAGCTGCAATGGAATACGACAGAGTAATATTGCGCGAGTTTTGGAAAAACTACAACATCCTGCATTGTATCGAAAACATTGCTGCAGCCTGGCAGGATGTCAGCGTAAAAAGTATGCAAGAGTTTTGGAGAAAGTGTTTAAGACGTTTTGTGGCTCTCACAAACAATTTTGGGATGTTTCACCACATGCCAAATTTGGACGATATCATCCGGAAAATTCTGACGCTCACGCGATTCCTGGATTTGGAGGTCGACGTCGAAGATGTGAAAAATCTGGTGGCCTATACGGAAGGAGATCTTTCCAACGAAGATTTAATTGAGCTGAAAGAAGAACTGGAAGCACAAAAGATTGTGGAGGAAGAAGTGGAGAAAGAAGAAAGGAAAGAAGAAAGGAAAGAAAGAAAAGAAGAAAGGAAGGTCATAGAGGTTCGGCCTAAAACATTCAGCCTGAGAAGATTGGCCAGCGTTTTCTCGAGTGTGAACAAAATTTTATCGGAATTAGAGAGTATGGACCCAGATGTGGAACGTTTTAGAAGGGTGCACTGGGAAATGTGTGAAATCTTAAAATGTTACCGCGAAATATATGAAGGGAAAAAGAAAGAAAAGAATGATAAAGAAAATAAACAGAATGGGTTGCTGAAGAAAGCTACTCCTTCCCCAGCTCCACTTCCCTTCCTTTTGCCCTTCCAGTCTACAGGAATACAAAACCCAGATCCTCAGCCATCAACCAGCTACGCCAGTGGATCCGATGTTCCTGAAAATACAGAAAACTATGAATATTTTCAAGGATTTATATCCAATTTGATGCTTACAGGTATTGTCCTTTCCAAATCCATTTTGTACCGGTGGCCTTTTTTAGTAACCAGAGTTAGTAAATAGCGTGGGCGAAAAAGTACCAATCTTCCCATTTACTATCACATTTTTATAAAGCAGAAAAAAATATAAAGTATAGGTCCTGTGCATATGATCCTGCTTTAGCTTTCCTTTGCTTTACAGATCTGTGAAGATCGTTGCAAGGACTGATTGTAAAGTTACTTTTTCTTCACCCGAGTAACTGCCAATGGCTGCTAAACAAGGGAGTCACTAAAGGGAGAACTACCCATAAGATTCATAATCACAATTGCGGTTTCAATTAACTTCTGCCTATAGTAATGACTGAGTTCAGTCCTGTTTGCGGTCTGTAAAAGAGGACTACCTGTACTGTTTTTTTATTTTGGTAATACAATTATTCCCTAATTTTGGGCTTACATAAATATAAGGAGTCCTCAAAATACAACACAATCAGGGCTGGAATTTCCATTGCTAAACGATGGGGCTGTAAAATATGATGTGACATAACCATATTGTTTAGCATCTGCAATCTCAACAGACCCGCTTGCCGTTGTAACTGAGAGACCACACTGGACCTTAAGGGAGGACCTCATGTGATGAAGGCCAGTGATTCAGAGTTGTGAGCCTGTGCCTTTGCAGGCTGTACTTAGCGTGCTACGGACTGCAAGATCTTAGGATCTTGTATGTTGTAGCGTGGCTCTTTTGAGAGCATATGTGCCAGGAGCAACTTAATGAAGTGACTTGTGAACTTTCCTGCCAGCTTCCCCATTGACTTTGCTTGTGGGAAGCTGGCAGAGAAGGTCTGAAATGGTGATCATGTGATACGGCTCACATTGATGTCATAATCATGAGCTGAGAATCAGGATTCTGATCAAATTACCATGGGGATTTCAGAGTAAGGACGTAAGTCCCCCTCATTCACTGTCCTCCCACCACCAAACTGTCGCTGAATGAGTCGTTGAAACCCAAGGACAACCTGTAAACCCAGTTTTCACACATAGTGTTTTTCATTTAATCTTTTTGTTTCTATTTAGGCGGTTTGTTAAAAAAAAATCTGCCTAAAGTATTAAACAAAAGCTTTAAAAAAATGTTCCAAAGTTTTAAAGTTGTTAGAATGACAATAATAATAACAACAACAATAACAACAACAACTGTGCGATGATCAATAATAATAATAAAGTTGGAAGGGACCTTGGAGGTTATCTAGTCCAACCCCCTGCTCAGGCAGGAAACCCTATACCATTTCGGACAAATGGTTGTCCAGTCTCTTCTTAAAAACTTCCAGCGTTGGAGCATTCACCACTTCTGGAGGCAGGTTGTTCCACTAGTTAATTGTTCTGTCAGGAAATTTCTCCTTATATATAAAGTTTTTTCTTTCTGGTCAGACCGGGTTTTTTTTATTGATACACTGGTATTTTGGCTGCTATACTGCAGTTCTATTATAATCATTTTTGCCTTGCACCCCCCCCAAACTAGGGGCGTTAAGCAGGCTCAAGTTGCTACTCTGATACATTACAAATTTGAATTTCTTTTTTGTTGACAAAGAGCTGGTGGCCTGGAGGTTAGTATGCAGGCTGGCCAGGTTCGAATCCCATAAAGGGTATGGCTAGCTGATGAGAGCAAAATGAGCTCGAAATGGCCATCCTAGTCTCCCATTTAACTCTTTAACTCTTTGTCAACAAAAAAGAAATTCGAATGTATGTATGTCTGTATGTCTTTTAAAATACTAAAAATGCGAATCCTGGGCATTATGCTAACAAATAAAAGAAAAAACAAACACCAGGATGTAATAAACCAGCCTGTTTAATATAAACAAGCCTGTGGTTAAGAAGAGTCGCTAAGCTTTCGTCCGGCCAAAAAACTGCCGGTGTCGTCAGAGTTAGAATAGCAGGAGATCGGGAAGGCAGCTCATATAGCCTCCTGCCTCTGCGCCCGGCTCCTTGAGCGCGTCATCGGCCCGTTGATTGTGTTAATCCGTATCGCACAGAGTTGTTCCGCATCAGGCAAAGTGTCTTTGACTCCACTGGTTGTTTTACGATCCTCAAGTGTTCGCGCTCTAAAAGAGCACTTGAGGATCGTAAAACAAGCAGTAGAGTCAAAGACAGTTGCCGCTTGTCTGTAATAGTATAGGGTCTCCTGCTTGAGCAGGGGGTTGGATTAGAAGACCTCCAAGGCCCCTTCCGGCTCTATTCTGGATTGCTTGATTGATTGACCTCCAAGTTGGATCCCCTCTCTTCCAACAGAGGGGGGACTGGAGAGAAAGCCTGGTTGCGAGACTTCTTTGAATTGAATCAACTTTCCCTTTTTTGGGTTTTCAGGCATCCCAATCCCAGCATTATACGATACTAATATCTCCCAAATTGGAGGAAGAGGCCTTGGAGATTGTGAAGGTGATGCTTTCCCCGGAGATAAAGCAAGAGAATGAAGAGGAGGCCAACTCTCTAGGTAAGGATATAGACCAGTGTTTCTCAACCTTGACAATTTTAAGGCATGTGGACTTCAACTCCCAGAATTCCACAGCCAGCAATGCTGGCTGTGGAATTCTGAGAGTTAAAGTCCACATGCCTTAAAATTGTCAAGGTTGAGAAACACTGGTCTAGACTGTCCGTCATTGCAAATAGGGAGGGCTTTGCTGGTTTTCTGCTGTCTTTTTGAAGCCCTGGGAAGTGCCAGCATCTTGCAGAACAAATTGGTTGTGCAGTCCTTCCCATCTGATGGTCCACCAAACCCTGGATCTGAGTGGGAATCCATATCCAGCCATTGCCAACATAGCTATCTGGTTTCATAAGAATGTGGAACTGCTCATCCTCCTGGCCCACGGCTATCTGTTGCATCGATCAGGAATGAAGGATTCTGGGAACTGAACTGTGGCCATCTAGGGAAGTTGAACATGGATGTAAGGTGGTTTGATCGGCTTGGAACCGTGGTTTTCAACCTGTGGTCTGCAGACCTCTGGGGAGGGGCACAATGTCATCACAGGGGGTCTGCAAAGGCTTGAAGAAATGTTATGATTGAAATATTGAGTGAAGTCTTGGGGGTCTAGGGCCATGGCCCGTGGCTACAAAAGGTATTTAAAGAGGAGGGGGCCTGGTGAAGAACCACTGGCGTAGAATATTGCATGGACCAGGTGACGATGGTATTGAAAATGTTGGCGAATGAACCCATTAGATGTGTTTAATTGAAGAATGTTTTAAGTAAACCAGTGGCTTAGTGATCTGTGAACTCTGTCAGCTTCAAAAAGAGTCTTCTTGATGAGGAGGTCTCCCAAGGTCTTGAGATAGATGCTGAAAACCATCAAACGAGGATGCTTGAGAGAATGGACAGCCATTTGTCTTCTGCCTGAGCAGGGGGTTGGACTAGAAGACCTCCAAGGTCCCTTCCAACTCTGTTAATCTGTTTGAACTAGGGAGAGCTTAAGTCAAACAGGAGGGAGAAGCCAAGATGGTCTTTTAGAGACAAAGTCAAATAGAACAGGGCTTTTCAACCAGTGGTACGGGTACCACCTGTGGTACATTGGCATCTGGCAGGTGGTACACGAACATCCTAGAAAAGTGGTAGTGGGGGAGGGGAATGAGCTGAACTGGTGGGAGCACCGCACAAGCCTGAGCGAGAGATGGCTGGAGTTGCAGGGCTGTCAGGGCTCAGTGGAAGCGCCAGGATCAGCACTTCTTCGGGACTGTCAGGGCTCAGTGGAAGCACCAGGATCAGCGCCAGGCTCCAGCTGGAGCTCGGCGCTGATCCTGGTGCTTTTGCTGAGCCCAGAAGAAGCGCCAATCAGCTGGAATGTTGCAGCATCTTCAGGGTCTTGTGATTTACATTCAGATGCTTGGCAACTGATTCATATTTATGACGGTCACAGTATCCCAGGGTCATGTGAAATGACCAAAACCTGCTGCAACCACCCAGAAGACGGGGGGAATAAAAACCAAACACCCCCCACCCGACTCCCGCTGCCAATCCTCAACAGAAATGCTCACAACAATGAAAACCTCGGACAGGAGGAAGAGTGCCACTGGGTGGGCAGGCAGGTGTCTTGCTCGGCTGTGCCTTGGGGGGCACTTTTTCAGTGCCATTGTAACTGCGAACAGTCATTAAGCGAACTGTTGTAAGTCGAGGACTTACTTTATCACTTTATCACTTTTTTCCTTTTTTTTTTTCCTTTTGGTCATCAAGTTTTTGACACCTTGCTAGGTGACTGGTGGTACTCGGATACTGCCATATCCTAAAAGTGGTACAATGGGCGAAAAGGTTGAAAAGCCCTGAAGTAGAAGACCCATGAACACTGGAATTTATACCAGATATTTTTTGGAATGAAATTCATCGTTGGGGGGACAATGTGATATAAACTCTTTTCTGTTTCTCTCAGAATATGAAGGATGTGGGACAACTCATAAGAAGACCTTCCAGGTGGGAAGATCTGAAGAAGTAGATTTGGGAAGATTCCATTGAAAGGAGTCCAACGATCATTTCTCTGGGGTTCCAGGATTAAGGAGAGCCAGTAGATCCGCCAGAGCACAAAGGCACACAGGAAAGAAAGCCAGTAAAACTTTTCTGCCTGAAGACGGTGATCAAAATTTAAGTGAAGCCAATTTTCAGCTGGGCACAAAGTCTGGAATTAAGAGGAGCCCGAGATGGTGTGGAACTATTAGTGTTCAAATGTGCAAGTACAGGATAACTGCGTAAATATATATACTCTTTGAGAACATTAACGGCAAACTCCGTGTATTCCATAGGAAAACCTTCTTGCAAGAAAAAAAAAATCACGTTTGCTCAGAGCGCAGAAAAACTTGGGTTTTAAAGCAAACAAGATAATCTAAACGGGAAGGATGCTGTAGAAACATTCAAACTGCAGCAAACGTTTCAACGCAAAATCAACTCTGATTCAATATGAGACAGTTCCGCACGGGTGAGAAGCTGTACAGATGCACTGAATGTGGAAAAGCTTTTTATTTTATTTTTTAGAAAGAGGGGGTTCTGGTCAAGTCCCTGAGGGGGGGGGGAAAGCCACATAGATGCTTTCAACTGCAGCAAAAGCTTCACTGGGTGAGATGCCCTCATCAAACACAAGCGAAGGAGAGAAGCCTTATGAATGCTCCAACTGTGGGAAAAGCTGCCATTTTAAACCCAGAGAGGCAAGAAACTTCACATTTAGACCTCAGCAAAAGAGGATGAGAGAGGATGGCTGGTGAAATGTGACATGTACCGAAGTCGTATCAGGCAGAATGCAGATCTTCACTCACGGCTTGTGATCCACACAAGGGCCCACACAGGAGAGGCCACAGGGGTGTGTCCTCAGTGTGAAAAGACCTGGTTTCTAGCTCACATCTCAGGAAGCATATTACGGTGCACAGGCTTAAAAAGTTCTTCCACGGCGGGAAAAACCTCCATTAGAAAATGGCGGCCCGCCAGTGGATTCACGCCTGAGAGGAACCATAAAGATGCTGGGTGTGTGAGAAAAGATCCTGCAGTTCTTCCATGCTTCATAAAGATATGAAAATCTCTTCAGCAGGGACATCCTAGAGGGAAGGGTTGGTGTTCAGGTCTAACACGCAGTCTCGGAGATAGTGAAAACGACACCAACCATTGGAGCGCAACATCAGACAGCAGAGAAGAAGCGCAACGGAACGATGGCTTTTAAAAACATTGACACATTAAAGTGTTAACAAAGCAGCGTCTGTTTTGTACTGAACTGCTTTTGTTCAACCTCTAGGATAGCAGGCAGGCTAGAAATGGCCCTGCTCTCAAATCTTGGTGGTACAGGAGACTCTGAATTCTAGTCACACCTTGGCCACGAAAGTCAGCTAGGTGGCCTTGGGCCAGTCATTCTCTCAGTGTAACTCACCTTACAGGGAAAAATAGGAGGAAGGAGGCGCGTTGGATGGGTTTGGCGCCTTGGATTATTTGTAAAACTAATAAAAGATGCGATACAAATAAATAAATAAGTCAGGGGGGGTTGATCTCCGTAAGGGATGTCGCTTTGTGTAGTGGGATGCCTTGTGCATATATTTGGCCTCCATACAGGTTTTGGGAAATGAGCTGCAGTCTAACCTAGCAAAATCTATTCCGTAGGGAATATTCGGAAAGCAAAAGGGGGATTTTTTTTTTCTGGAATTGCCCTCATTCCTCACCCTCACAATTTTATCAAGGCCTACTTCATTATCTCTCCTGTGATTAGCTAAATTAATCCTGTGGTTAAAATACCATCCAGAGCCATTGAGGGCTAGGTGGCATACAAATTACATGCAAATGTAATGTAATAGTATTTTTCTTTGGTGATATTTTATGTTTTAAACCATTTGTATGGCTGCTCTTCTCAAAAAAACATAATAACTGGTCAGCAAGAAAAGAATTAAAGTGAAAACTGTTTAAATCAATAAACTGCATTGGTGGCAAGTTGAAGATGTGTGGACTTCAACTCCCAGAATTCTCCAAGCACCCTTGTTTGTGCAGGCAAAATGAGAGGTGAACCGAGACCGGACTTTCATCATGTTTCTATATTTCCTGATAAGATTTTTTTTAAAAAAAACTATGATTCCTTCCCCAAGATCCTTGCTTCTGTCAGGGCTGGTCTTTACCCACAGGAAGAGTCTTAAGAAATAGGAGATGGAGCTGCAAACCAGGCAGGTCATGGACTGAACTGTTGTGCCTGCTATTTTGACTTTTTTTGACTATTTATGGACAGCTTTGTTTTCCACGGGGGGGAAAAAGTAATCCTAATAAACTGAAAAGTTTCTAAAATGAAACTAAGGGCTTGTTTTAAGAGGAAAAACTTGTTAAATGTCTAAAAATGTCTGGAACCAGACCCAGAACCATGATGTAGTGCTGGGAAAATATTTTTGCACTTATTTGCAGGAAAAAGAATGTATAGAAATAAAATTATTACTGCTGATTGTGACATGTACACTTTCGTTCTCTTCCTCCTCAGCTCCATTCATTTTCTTCCTGGCACAACCTCCCCCCCCCCCCTGATCCGCTCTGAATGCCTCAATCTGTCAAATCTCCGCAAATGAAAGCTCAGGCTGATTTTGGCTGGGTTGGGAAGCTAACCATAGTGATGTAACTTAGTAATGGGATGGGAGACCACTAAGAAGCCCTTTAGAAGAGGCACCATGGAGGGAACCAATAGTAACTTCTCTTCTATTTTTATTGTCAAGAAAATGAGGGTTTACTGTTTATGGAGGTTCTCAGTCTTCCGGATCATGGTTGTCCCAAAGGAGCTTTTTCAAAAGGCAACTGGACTTTCTTGTTTTTCTTTGAAGACGTTTCACTTCTCATCCAAGAAGCTTCTTCAGCTCTGTCTGGATGGTGGTGTTGAAGGAAAAGTCTTCATGGTTCAGTCCAAGCTGGGAATAAACAACATGGTGACTGCTTTAGAAAGAAGGTTGCAGTTTATTGAAGAGGAGAGCCAGACAGAAAGATGGCTCTGGAAGAAATGAGAGTGAGCACATGTAGGGAGTGGGTTTTTATACCCTCTGGAACCTTTTGTTTGGAGTTCTTGTGGCATGAATTGGGGGGGGGCAGGGTTGGTTTCTGCTTTTAAAATCCTTTAGGGATTTTAAATATATTTTAATATATTCTGCCATTTAAATATTTCCAAGAATATTTCTTTCTCGGGGGATGGGGTGACTTTCCACAGTGGGGAATAGAAGGATTTAATATTCCTTGCAGACAGCTGGTCATTTGCATTCTTTTAGAGACTCGAATCGTTGAGGCCACTTGGAAATTTGTATCCTCAGGTTGACCTAAGTAGTGCAAATGGGTGTGGAGCCATCTTGGAACTGCTGAAAGGACTGTGTTGTGGATCTGTGCTTTCTGCAGGATATTTTCTGCCCTATATCCCTTCACTGAACACAGGAGCAGGCTGGTGGGGTTGAATCTGTGTTGTCTGCATCTCAAACTGAAGCGCAGATGGTCCTGTAGTCTGCAATGTTTTCTGAAAATCCATCCATACTCCCACATCATTCGAAGAGTGTTCATTCCAAAGTGCATAGCTAAATATCTATGGAGACAGATTGTCATCCAGGTCATGGTTGTCCCCGTTGTTCTCATCCAAGAAGCTTCTTCATTTCCGAAGAGGTGAGCTGAAGAAGCTTCTTGGATGAGAAGCGAAACGTCTTCAAGGAAAAAAAAAAAGAAAAGTCCAGTTGCCTCTTGAAAAAGCACCTTTGGGACAAGGTGAACTTGCTTTGTAGTAAAGAAACAAAAGTGAATTCGACAAGTTCGGAGCCTTCAACATCTAGGAATCTCTGAATATTGGCTAGTATTGAGCAATAATAAGAGAGGGCTGTGGATTTCTCACAACTCACTATAACAATCATCCTGAAACAAAACTCCCAAACTTAAGAACCAGTACCTGGAACCCCAAAAGTTGGGGACCACTGCCTTAAATCACACCAAGGGATGTGTTTGTAGAACGAACAGGACTGGAGGCTAAAACATAGAAGGAACAGTTGCTGGAATTGGGTATGTCTAGTAGTTTAATGAAGAGAAGGATGAGGGGGGACATGACAGCAGTCTTCCAATATCTCGGGCTGCCACAAAGAAGAGAGAGTCAAGCTATTTTCCAAGGCGCCTGAAGGCAGGACAAGAAGCAACGGATGGAAACTAATCAAGGAGAGAAGCAACCTAGAACTAAGGAGAAACTTCCTGACAGTTAGAACAATTAACCAGTGGAACAACCTGCTTCCAAAAGCTGTGAATGCTCCAACACTGGAAGTTTTTAAGAAGAGACTGGACAGCCATCTGTCCGAAATGGTATAGGGTTTCCTGCCCGAGCAAGGGGCTGGACTAGATGACCTCCAAGGTTCCTTCCAACTTTATTATTATTATTAAGATGCAATTCCTCCCTTGAGCCCTGGATTGCCCCGGGAAGCACAAAAGAGTTAAAGCCATAGAGCTATGCCTTCTAGAAAGGCCTCTAGAGGTCTCCCCATCCCATCAGGAGGACGACTCAGATCTGCGGCTAGGCCGCAGCGCCACCTGGAAAGGAGAAGCGTGGCAAAGGCTACAGCGCGGGTGGCTCGGAGCAAGAAAGAGCGCCGATTGCGGGGGGAAAAAAGGCAGCGGCTGTTCCCGCGGCAGAGGATCGCGTGTAAAGAAAGCGCAAGGGAAAGAAGGAAATGGGGGGGGGGGCAGCGGCGTGATTTCTGTATCCGTTCCACTCGTGCAGTGCGGGTCACCCTTGCTTTCCAGGTGCAGTTCCAAAACAGGATTCTTGTTTTTGCAAAAAACAAAAACTCACAACCCTATCATTTTGCCTGGATCTGGGATCTCGAATAGGCAGGGCTTGCCCTGATTCCTGTGATCCGATTATGGCTTTGGAAAGAGGCAGCTGGATCTTCTCAGTGACTGCCTACATCCTTGATCTTTTCCCCAGCCTATTGTTCATTGTTGCATCGATGAGATTCACAACGTGCTAAAGTACCAGAGTGGCAGCAGCTCTGTGGGTTTGGTGTTGCAAAGAGCAGATAACAGAGTTGGAAAGGATCTTGTAGGTCATCTAGTCCAGTGTTTCTCAACCTTTTTAATGTGACCCCCCCCAACCGGTCATAAGTCGAGGACTAAACCGGTCGTAGGTCGAGGACTACCCAACCGGTCGTAAGTCAAGGACTTTCCCTGCCCAGGAGTGCCGCATATGTGTGGTGCCGCCCCCTGCGCCAGCCGAGGCGTAGTTGGCAAGCGGCAGAGACAGAGCAGGCCGACCACTGGTTGGGCCACCAGCTGGCCCAGCCCAAGGGAAGTAAGGCACCCGCCGGAAAAGGGGAAAAAAATGGCGGACAGCCTTGCTTGGCGACCCCCGTGAAATGGTCGATCGACCCCAAATGGGGTCGCGACCCATAGGTTGAGAACTGCTGATCTAGTCAAACACTACCACCACCCCACCCAAGGAGGAGACCCTATACCATTTCTGACAGATGTCCGTCCAGTTTCTTCTTGAAAGCTTCCAGTGATAAAACTCCCTCAATGACGTTTGTGGTATCTTTTCCAAAACGTGTTATTGTCCCAAAGATGCTTTTTCACGAGGCAACTGGGCCTCAAAAAGCATCTTTGGGACAACTATAACCTGGATGACTGAGAATCTCCATAGACAAAATATGTTGTTGTTGTGGCACTCCATAAACAGTAGCCAGTTGCAAGTGACTGTAGATAAACTTAGGGTGCCAGTCACTTTTTCTCAGCCCTAGAAAATGGGCAATGGCAAACCACTTCTAAAAATCTTTGCCAAGAAACTTAAAAACTTATCTCTGAGAATCAGACAAAATTAAAGGGAAAAATCAACAACCAAAAAAGCCTATCGGCGCTCTAAACAATGTTTCTCAATCCTGAAATCTTTTAAATGTATGGACTTCATCTCCCAGAATTCCCCAAGTAGCACTGTTAGGGAGGAATTCTGGGAATTGGAGTCCACTCATCTTAAAAATTGCAGAGGTTGGGAAACATGCTGCTCTTTAAAGTCAAGCAAATGAGAGTTGGTAAAATATTGTCGCGTTGACATGGAAGCTGTTGTTGCATGTCTTTGCTCAATTTCTGAGATTGCTGGACAGGAATTTTGGAAATCCTGGCGGTGGCTGCCAAAAGAAGCCAATAAAACTGAATGGACCAGTTGTCCGATATCTGTAAGGGATGTCACTGTGTATCATATGTTGCTTTGCTAAAAACAAGTCCCAACTGAAAGATGGTCGCAATTATTTATTATAAATCAATATAAGAAATGGGTTCTGTGAGGGCATTTACTCACTGTAATATAGGAGAAGAATCCTGCTTGTTGTAACAATTGAGGCCTGCTTTCTAAGAACAATGGAAAAGCAAGGGATTTTATTACAAGGCTGAAAAATCCTCAGGATCTGATTGGCTGGCCAGTTTGGGGAAAGTAGGCAGACCTTTGTTAGTGCACCTGGGCTGAATTCCATTGTTAGCAAAAAGGGGCTTTTCCAGAGAAGCAGAGGTGGGAAATCCATTGTGAAAGGGGTGGAATGTTGAGATAAGGGGTGTGTGTGGCCTTGATGAAGGATGGAATGCTGGGATTTCTCATCTGGTTGTTTCCTTGAGATTAGATTATTAGGGTTGCCCTGGGGCTGGGCTTTGAGTACGATTGCAGGAGGCTTTGTCTGAACTGGAGGGAGGACGTGGGTTTGACCCTGGTCTTATCTGAAAGTGGAAAACAAAACCTAACCAACAAAATGGACATGCACCCTTCCCCACCATTGTCTTTCAAATATGACCAGAGTCGAACCCAGTCAAACCTCTCTGTGCTTAATTAGATCAAGCCCCAATTGATCCTTCTTGATCCAAAGCCCCCTGCAATCCCATCATGCCAAGAAAGCAGCCTCCCCACCTTATAATAAAATAAAACCTTTGCTTTCCATTGATTTGTTGTTGTTAATTGCGAAGTCATGTCCGACCCATCGCGACCCCATGGACAGCGTTCCTCCAGGTCTTCCTGTCTTCTACCATCTTCTGGAGTCCATTTAAGTTCAGGCCTACTGCTTCAGTGACTCCATCCAGCCATCTCATTCTCTGTCATCCCCTATTGCCCTCAATCTTTCCCAGCATTAGGCCCTTCTCCAGTGAGTCCTTCCTTCTCATTAGGTGGCCAAAGTATTTGAGTTTCAACTTCAGGATCTGGCCTTCTAAAGAGCAGTCGGGGTTGATCTCTTCTAGGACTGACCGGTTTGAACGCCTTGAAGTCCAAGGGACTCGCAGGAGTCTTCTCCAGCACCATAGTTCAAAGGCCTCAATTCTTTGGCGCTCATTTCCATTGATAGGAGTCCCTTTTTCTTGTTAACCAGGCACCCAAGAATCACTGTAATAAACAAACCTGATGGAACAGCATACCCTGGTGCAGAGGCCCCCAACCTTTTGGGCACCAGGGACCGGTTCTGTGGAGAAAGATTTTCCCATGGACGGGGGGTTGGGGATGCCTGTCCTGGTGGATTGCAGGTCCCTTCATGCTTCCCTCCCCCTCCCTCCTGCTTCCCCACTGTCAGGACACCAGAAGGAGCAACTAAACAGTGTTTTCCAAAGGGGCAGTGGTGGAGGGGGGGGGAATATCAGATTTAATTTAATTCAGAATAGAGCTTGAAGGCTCCTTGTAGGTCTTCTAGCCAAACCCCCTGCTCAAGGGGCAACCCTATCTAGGGGTAGGCAACCTTGGCTGTTTTATGACTGATGGACTTCAATTCCCAGAATTCCTGAGCCAGCATGGCTCAGCTTGGAAACCTGTCCCTTTCCCCTCAGCATGGCTGGCTCAGGAATTCTGGGAGTTGAAGTCCACGAGTCATAAAAGAGCCAAGATTGCCTACCCCTGCCTAGGCCTTCTTTTCTCTAGACTAGCCATAACCCAATCCTGTAACCGTTCTTATATGTTTTACTCTCCAGGCCCTTAATCATCTTAGTTGCTCTTCTTTGCACTCTTTCCAAAGTCTCAACCTCTTTTTTTGTAACGTGGTAACAAAAACTGGATGCAGGATTCCAGATGGGGCCTTACTAAGGCTTTATAAAGCAATACTAATACTTCACGCGATTTGGATTCCAGGCCTCTGTTTATACAAACAAGGATTGTATTAGCTTTTTTTGGCTGCCTTGAAGCTATGCAGCTGCGGCTGCGATGCATGCAGGTGCTCCGGCATGCCAGTACAAGTCAAAGCAGGCCACCAAGTGAAAAGAAGTAAAGGCAGCTGAGGCAAAACAGAGGTCCCACACCACCTTTTCTGACCAGGCATAAACTTTTGCAAGCCACAGCTGAAGCTTGTCAAAGAGAGAACCAAACTAGGAGAAATTTTCTAACAGCGAGAACAATTCATCAATGGACTAGCTTGCCTCCTGGGATGGTGGCTGTTCTGCCCCTGGAGGTTTTCAAAAATAGAATGGACAACCATTTGACTGAGATGGTATAAGAGTCCTGTCTTGAGCCTGGCGTTGGAGTAGAACAGAGGTCCCCAACCTTTTGGGCACCAGGGACCAGTTTCGTGGAAAGAGGTTTTTCTGTGGACCTGAGGATGTGTAGTTTTGTGTGCTGCCTACATGCCACGGATGGGGCTTTGCTTGTTTGTGCGGACTGGTTGCTAGCATGCCGACTGGAAGACCTCCAAGGTCTCTTTCAGTACTGTATGATTCTATTAGATGTGTGGAATATTTAGATGTGTGGAACTTTCTAGAAATTGAAGTCCAGACATCTCAAAGTTGAGAAACACCAACTTAGACTGATGTAGGATTTACACAGAGTTTGTGGGGAAAGAATTGGAAGACAGGCCGGTTATGCAGATGCAGGTTATATTTGAGACAGATTGCCCTTATAAATTAACTCCTAATTTTTAATAACATTTGTTAATCTGAAAAAGTCCAATGAGTCTCTGGATTCTTTTTGCTAACCATAGACCCACCTGCCTCTCCCCTTATAAGATCCACTAGGGGTAACACAGGGCAGAGGAGTTTGGCAAACACCCAAAAGCACAGCAAAAAGCCATAGGCTGGCTGACCTTGAAGTCCTGAACCTGGAGCCCTGGGTGACCCTGGAGCAAGCAGAAAGCCCTCCTATCCTGCAGGAGTCAGTAGAGAGAAATAATGAAAGAAGTCCCTCAGAAAACAAACAGAAAAGGTGTGAGAATTTCATTTGCTGGCTATTGAAGGAAGTCAAGGTATTGATGGAGCAGATACCAGTAGAGAAGATACACTGAACTCTGTAGAAAATGAAGATTAGGTAGGTAGGTAGGTAGATAGATACGAGATGAAATAGACAATACAGATCAGGATGACAGATATCAGATAGACCAGTGGTTCTCAACCTTTTTAATGCCGCGACCCCCAACCGGTCGTAAGTCGAGGACTACTCAACCGGTCGTAAGTCGAGGACTACTCAACTGGTGCAGCACCGTTTGCAGAATGGGACTTTTGGCGGGCTCAGCAGGGCAGAGACAGCCTGGACAATTCCTATTGGCTTTTGAAAGCCAATAGAATTAGACTCTATGCAAGAGAGTCTATTCTATTGGCTTTCAAACGCCAATAGAATAAAAGGGAGTAGCACAGCTAAGGGGGAAAAAAATGGCAGACTGCATTGTTTGGCGACTCCCGTGCAATGGTCGTTCGACCCCAAATGGGGTCCCGACCCACAGGTTGAGAACCACTGAGATAGACAGACAGACAGAGAGAGATGAAATAGATTACAGATCAAGATGACAGATATCTGATAGATAGATAGATAGATAGATAGATAGATAGATAGATAGATAGATAGATAGATAGGGTGATGTGATGTCACTTTTTATAATCCCGTTGCATAGCAATGGAAATTCTGGCACCAATTGCTGTACCAATTTTCCATTGCAGCCCCTACCCTACGAGACACAAATCCTGTGCTTAACTTCTCCAATTTAACTCCTTGCAAGATGATGACCAGTTTTGAGTAAGAATGGCACCGGGCATGAACATAGTAAGGCAAGGAGATCTGGTTAATTTATAATTTGAAAAAAAGCAATAATCGCCTTTTTGGAATTCCCAGACTATCAGCCATTCTAGAGGTGCCCTGTATTTGCAGAGCAAGTACACGTCAAATGTGGATGCTTTGAACTTTACCATTTGCTATATTTGAGGTTTATTAGTTTCTGTATTGGGTTTCATTACTGTTAACCATGTCATCATGAGTTGGGCTGCCATATACATATTCTTAATAAATAAAAATGCATACATTCATATTTATATCCTCCTTTATGATATGTAGAAATAAACCAAGACAGCAAACATATCTAATACAGATCCTAGCTCATATTCTCTGCCCAGCACGGCAGTTCCTCTTGACTCTCTGAAAGGAAATGACTGTGCTGGACCAGAGAAAGGAAGCTCAGATCTCCTTCCACATGTCTGATACTAAAAGGAATCATGCAAGAAATCAAATGATTAATTTCTCAGCTGGGTTCCCAATGAGAGATGAGAAGCAAGGTTCAAGATTCCTCTACACACATCAAATTTTGACTCATGTGGAATTTCTTGTGTGCGATAAGGGAGGAATTCCGTGTGAAACACTGTCCACAATCTGGGCATTTGAATGGTTTCTCCCCTGTGTGTAACCTTACATGATTGATAAGGTTAGACCTAATGCTAAAATCTTTTCCACAATCCGGACACTCATAAGGTTTCTCTCCTGTGTGAGTCCTCCAGTGTATCACCAAGTCGTAATTCCGGTAGAAACATTTCCCACACTCGACACACTCATATGGTTTTTCTCCTGTGTGAATTCTCTGGTGTTTCATCAGGTACGAATTCTGACTGAAACTTTTCCCACACTCGAGACATTCATACAGTTTCTCTCCCGTGTGAGTTCTCTGGTGTTTCACCCGGTTGGAATTATGACTGAAACATTTCCCACAATACATACACTCATATGGTTTCTCTCCTGTGTGAGTCCTCTGGTGTAACATCAGGTGAGAATTCTGACTGAAACTTTTTCCACAATCCGGACACTCGTACAGTTTCTCTCCTGTGTGAGTCCTCTGGTGTATCACCAAGTCAGAATTTCGAGTGAAACCTTTCCCACACTCGACACACTCATATGGTTTTTCTCCTGTGTGAGACCTCTGGTGTATCACCAGGGCGGAATTCCAACAGAAACTTTTACCACAATCCAGACACTGAAATGGTTTCTCCCCTGTATGCGTCTTCTGGTGCTTCACCAGTTCAGACTTCCAACTGAAATTTTTCCCACACACTTGACACTCATATACTTTTTCCCCTGTATGATTTCTCTGGTGTACCACTAGGTAGGAATTCCTAGAGAAACCTTTCCCACAATCAGGACACTCATATGGTTTTTCTCCTGTGTGAATTCTCTGGTGTTCCACCAAGTGTGAATTCCGACTGAAACTTTTCCCACAATCCAGGCACTGATACGGTTTTTCTCCCATGTGAGTCTTCTGGTGTTTCACCAAGTCAGAATTCCAACTGAAACCTTTCTCACAATCTGGACATTCATATGGTTTATCTCCTGTGTGGGTCCTCCGATGTTTCAGAAGGTTGGAATTATAACTGAAACTTTTCCCACAATCAGGACAATCAAAGGGTTTCTCTCCTGTATGAGTTCTCTGGTGGACAAGCCGGCTGGAATTCTGCTTGAAAGTTTTCCCACAATCAGCGCACTCATATAGTTTTTCTCCTGTATGAGTTCTATGGTGTTTCACCAGGTTGCAGTTCTGACTGAAACTTTTTCCACAATACAGACACTTATATGGTTTCTCTCCCGTGTGAGTTCTCTGGTGTATCACCAGCTTGGAATTATGCTGGAAACTTTTCCCACAATACAGACACTCATATGGTTTATCTCCAGGGTGAGTCCTCTTGTGTCTCACCAGATTGGTTTGCATGCTAAATCTTTTGCCACAATGAGAGCACTAGTAGAGTTTCTCTTCGATCTGAGTCCTTCCATGAATCATGAGAGACCTGTTCTTAGTAAAGCTTTTGCCATACTTCAAGCATTTGTATTGCTTTTGTAGGGGTGGATCCACTTGTGCATAATTATGATGTAATTTGCAATCTGTGTTTTTCCCACAATAGGCAGTCTGTGCGGTTTTTCCAACACTGATATTCTTGGATTCTTGGAGGCCAAAAATATTTCTGATCTCTTAGCTGGTGGTTCTTTGATTCAAGCCATTCTTTCTTTCCTCAAAGGCTTTCATTAATGCCTGCCCATTTTGGCTATCCAAAGTACCCTTTCCTTCCCACTGACTTCCATGTATTTCCCACTTGTTCTTTCTTTGGAAATTATCTCCTTTGACTTCTCATGTAATGTTTCCTTGAGTTGCACAGTCTTTTTTTCCAGCTCAAAACTCTGCCCTTGTTATTCTCTCCCTTGTTTCTCATTTGCTGAGAAAGGAGCAGAGTTTTTACACTTTCCGAAGGAAGTGGAAAATAAATTTGATTGATGCCTTGTTTTGCATTTTAATGCTGCTTCTCATTCTCTGTTGTTCAGAGTGTTCTTCTTGGCATCCTCTTTGTCTGTAAGATTCATATTAATGGGTTAGTTTTATTGTTGTTTAAAGAATGGCTGCAGAACATGTGAAAGCAGCAAAAAAAACCTTTATATTACCATGAAAAAAAGAAACACCAAAATTCTAGTTTAACTTCTAATATTAATTATGATTCATTTGGCATATAGAAGACTAGCACGATCCAAGTTCAAATATTGACTCAATCATAAGATTCTTTTTTCAATCAATCAATCAATCCATCCATCCATCAGAATAGAGCTGGAAGGGACCTTGGAGGTCTTCTAGTCCAGCCCACTGCTCAATCAGGAGCAGGTAAATCATTACAGAGTTAAGTTTTTGGGTTGGGTAAATCACTCATACATGCACACATAGGCCCACAGAAATTAAAAAAGAAAACCTATGAATTTATGTATGTAAATAATATATATATTTCAGTGTGCAAAATGTCCCAGAAGTACATTCGCTCAATTTTTTTTATTTAATTTAAAAAGAGGGGACTAACTGATGAAATAGTGCCCAAATCCTATGCAAGATTTAAACCGTTCATTTTGCCTCGCTTGCCAGGAAAACATGTCAAATAAAATCACGAATCAAATGTCACGTGAAGGATGAAACGGGCGGTGAAGAAATGTCAAATAGAAATAAAGATTTTTTAAAAAAATCTCCCAAATCTGCCAGCAGAAAATCACAGGCAGCAGCTTTAAATCGTGCAACCCCGGAGCAATAAAATTTGGGGAGAGAAAGATTATGCAGCAGTGGCAGCAGCCTACATGTTTCGGCCTCGTTGCTTCGCTGCTCGACTTGTTCCCGGCTTCTCCTCCGACCTGCCCTCCACTCACCTTCCAGGAGCCGCTTCCACCGTGGAAATAACACCAGAGCCTCCACCGACGCCATCTCCCTCCCTTGGGTGAGTCGGAAGAGGAAGTTCCTCTTTCATTCGCCTCTTCCCCACGTCCTCTCTAGTAATACTCTCTATCGTTTCAATACTCTCTATCGTTTCAACTCGTTCCAGCGCAGTCTATTCCCCTCCCCTAGAATAGTTCGGCTGCCGCTATACCTTACCTGCTTTCCAGGCGTGAGTGTTGCTTCTTTGTAGAGCGCCATCTAGCGACAGAAGGCGAGAAAACCACGCTCGTCCGTTTGCAAGACGTTCTCATGGATTCCGGGCTTCCTTCTGTGCCATCGAGTCGTATTCAACTCCCACCGAGCCACATCCATAGCTTTTCTCCCTGAGGATCTATCCCACAGCTTTTCGTTTGCAAAGAAGCGGCAACCAAACCAAAGGAAATCGTGTGCCAATAGGAAGTGGGAAAATGCACCTCCCTTTGTTCAAGCCGCTTTTCCCTCTGGAGAGGTGGAGTACAAGATAACTCGAAATTTGCCTCTGCAGTTTAGGGAAGGTGAAAGACTGAAGCTTGATCTCTTGTGTCTTATATGATTTTATTTTCTTTTACTTCCATGTTTAGCTAACAAGCACCATATTTCCTACTGGTGCCCCACCCCTGCTAAGCAATGGAAATTTGGGCGCCAATTGCTGTCACAACTGAATAACTACCTATATTTCTTTTCCAAGCTCAGGAGAGGGCTGGAAGAGTCATTTCCCCCCTTCTGGACAGTTGGCATCCTGGCCAGCTTCATACCTTCAACAGCAGTTTGCTGTGCATAAGAAAATCATGACAGGTTTTCCTGGCAGAGGATTTCAAGGCATTGCTACAGAGTAAGACCTTTTCTAAGCACAGCTGAAGAGGGCAATGAAAGGTTGGCAGCCTGGAATTTCAACTCGCCCCGATTGCAGGTCTGATTTTTGCCACCTGGAGAAAGGGCTGTGCAGGAGAAAGACACTTGGGCCCTTCTCGGTCTGGGTTCAGTCTAGGGCACAGCAACAAAATGGCACTGGTTGCAATTCTCATGGACTTTTGGAGGCCTTGGGATAGAGGGATACGACCATTTTGTTCCTCCTAGACCTCTAATCAAGTTTCAATACCATCGACCATGACATCCTTCTGGACTGGTTTTGGGGACTGGAAATGGGAGACATTTCACAGCCGGTTCAGTTGGTGCGGGGAGGAGAAGAGGGGCTGAATCTTGGCCCCCGCCATTTGGGATGCCCCGGCACAAAAGCCTTTTGCTGCTGCTTTTTAAAATCTACATGAAACCGCTAGGGGAGGCCATCCATTCTATGATACCCAATTATATACAGGTAGTCTCGGGCTGAAAACATTTCCTTTAGCGACCATTTGAAGTTACAACAGCACTGCATAAAGCAGGGGTGTCAAACTCAATTTCATTGAGGGCCGCATTAGCATTGCGGTTGCCCTGGGGAGGGGTGGCCAAGGTGAGTGCGGCCTACTGGGTGGGCATGGAGTGGGTGTGGCCTACTGGGTGGGCATGGCCAGCTCTACATCGTTCGCGTCAAGGGGGCCTGTGGGGGCCTGGGCAGAGTGGGGCAGATCTGAGGGTCTCTGGCAGAAGGGGTGGGACCGGGGCAAGCGCCAAGGCATGGTCCATTTCTTCATTCCTCACAAAGGGTGACACCTCCCCAGCATGCACCCAGGGGGTGGGGCCGACGCGGCAGGGCCTTTGTTCCTCGCTGTTTCCAGACGGCCTTGTGGAGCTAAGACTGAATGTGTTTCAGCACAGATGGCCACCATAAAATTGTACATTGGCTCCCGGCCGGCCTGGGCCAAGGCAGCAGGGGCCATTCCCTCACTGTTTCCAGGATGGCTTCGCGGGCCACATGAAACCACTTCACGGGCCGCATCCGGCCCCCGAGCCTTGTGTTTGACATGTCTGGCATAAAGTGACATGACCATTTTTTGCACTTGCAACCATTGCAGCATTCCCCCTTGTCACGTGATCAAAATTGAGACACTTGGCAATTGACTCGTATTTGTGACAGTTTCAGTGTCCTGGGGTCATGTGATCACCAGTGTCGACTGAGGGTGCACAACCTGGAAGTCCTCCTGGACTCAGGGTGCCTGTTTGAAGAGGCCATGACTGAGGGAGGGGCTTGGCAGATTCATCTGGTGTGCTAATTGTGCTCTTTCCTGGACCAGGAAGGCCTTGCACAATGGGTCACTCAAGCCTTGGGCACCTCCTGTTTGGATCACTGCACTGGACCACTCAGAAACTTTTTTTTATTGCTGTTTTATCTCTACATAAAATACGAAGAGAAGTAGAAATGGGAAATTAGGGAAAGGGAAAAGAGAAAAGAAAATGTAAGGTACAAGGGAAAAAAGAAAAAAAACAGTGTTGACCTCTCACTCTTTTTAGCACAGTACAAGATAAAAACACTCCAGCCGCAACTTTTTGCTTTTACGCAATAGTATATAACCAGCCATTTCTATAACGACAAATCTATCTAATCGATAAAACCAAAGCCAGTTTCATTTTCTTTTTCATCACAAACATAAAATCCAGAGGTGATCTCCAAATGAAAAGCATACTTAAGTATATTCTCCTCTTTGAATAAAATGATCAATTTAACCATTTCTGCTATATCTTCCTTGCTGTGGAAATTATATATAATTCTATTTGCACCTAATAATCTTTGTGAACTATCACCATTTATATTAACAAGGTTCGCTGTATTCTAAATACAACAACAACAATAATAATAGAGTTGGAAGGTACCTTGGAGGTCATCTAGTCCAACTCCCTGCTCAGGCAGGAAACCCTATACGATTTCGGACAGATGGCTGTCCAGTCTCTTCTTAAAGACTTCCAGTGTTGGAGCATTCACCGCTTCTGGAGGCTGGTTGTTCCACTGGTTAATTGTTCTAACTGTCAGGAAATTTCTCTTCAGTTCCAGGTTGCTTCTCTCTCTGGTTAGTTTCCATCCATTGCTTCTTGTACTGCCTTCAGGTGCTCTGGAGAATAGCTTTCTTTCAGATTCTTTCTCCTTACAGGAATTTCTTTTCTTTTTCATCCTTTTTAAAATGCTAATCTTCTTTAAACACATTTCTAAAGTCAAAGCTTTCTAATACATTCTTTTAACTTCTTAACATATTTGCTTTAAACTTCAGTATTAAATTTAGATCCCTTCCTCCAAATGACCCTCATAGAATAATATATATTTTTCTTTTGTATACATCCTCTTTAAAATTCTAATTTTTTCTTTAAAGTAGCACATCATTTTCTTTAACTTTCTCTTCACACAGGTACTCTCAAATACATTTTCAATAACATTTTGCATACTTTTAATAATTACTTAGGTATTTATATACATATATATATAGAGCTGGCAAAGAGGGAGGAGAGCCTGTGGCTTGGTGGTTAAATCACTGCCTAGTATGTAAACTGCCCAGGTTCGAATCCCATAAAGGGTGTGGCCAACTGAAGAGAGCAGAATGAGCTTGAAATGGCCATCTTAGTCTCCCAATTTAATTCTTTAATTCTTTGTCAGAAAAAGAAATTTGTATGTATGTATGTATGTATGTGTATATATACATATATATATATATATATATATATATATATATATATATATATATATATATATATAAAAGGTACATTTTTAAATTTTAGATTAAGACTTTCCTTCAATTACAAATATCAAACATATAAAAATCCATCCCAGATCCATTTAACTCATTAATTCGCTCCTTCCAGCTTGTCTTCTTGGAGTAAAATCTTTTTCTTGTCTGGAAAGTTTATCAAGTAGTTATAAGCCTCCCTTTTTCTCAAGGAATTCTCAACCTTCCTGTGAAAATGGCCAACTGAGTACATGTCCAGGGAGGGATCCCTGAAGGATTTTTTCCCTGGACTGTAGCTCTTCAACTACTAATGGAAGGAACTGGCATTCCTTGTTTCCTTGTTACCTTCTGGGAGGAGGCTCCGTGGTATCCGAAGCAGAACATCCAGATTCAGTCACAGCTTTGTTCCATACAGTATTAACCTTGTGAACTCTAAAGCTTCCTCCTTCCATTATGTATTCAAGATGGACAGTGATTAATATTTATATGTTACTTATATGTAAGGGTGTAGGTCTATACATATGTTGTATATAATATATTTAAATGTGTGTTATGTATATGTACACTTTGAGAGCAAGCAACTAAATTTTATTTTTAATGTGTGCCATTGTGCCCGCAGTATAAAAAATGACAATAAAGGTTATCTATCTATCCTTCAGTTTATATGACTCTCATGATTTAGAGAAGAGTCTTAGAATTACCCTTCAAGATCCTCTGATACAGCAAAGGTCTGCAAGTAACTTCAGGAGCTGTGCTTCAAAGCAACTGGGTGCTGAAAGCTGGGGGGGAAGGGTGCAATCTGTTTGTTGTTAAAACTGCCATTTTAAAATTTACTTTTTAAATGGAAAGTTGTGCCTTTCATTTCTTAATCACCTGTAATGACTACTGTATTAATCTTTACTAAGTTAAAAGAGGGTCTCTTTAGTTACAGCCTGCTATGCCTTTTTGAAGATCTGCGCCATTTGGGGGATTTCTTGTGTTAAACAATAAGGAAGAAAGCTGCTAAGGCAGTGTTTCTCAACCTTGACAATTTTAAGGCATGTGGACTTCAATTCCCAGAATTTCACAGCCAGCAATGCTTTAAAATTGTCAAGGTTGAGAAACACTGTGCTAAGGCAAGCCAAAATTAGGAGGTGTGGAGCAAAATTTTAAAAAAACCGAGACATAAAGGCAGAAAGTTATGGTTTTAGTTTATGAATTGTAGTAATTTGTAGCTTTCTCTGCTTTGCTGTGGATGGCTAACTATTTGAATTTTATGATTCCTGAACGACTAGCAATTTCTAATCTATTTTTGTGTGGAAGATGAAAATATTGGCTATTGTTTTTCTATGCCAGATTTAGGCCCAGGTGAACTAAATCAGGCCTCGTGGAAAAAGTATTGAACCAAAGTCTGTGCTATGTTCAGTTTTACAATCCGAAGGAGCTATTTGTAAACTAAACTGCAACTGTACTTTATTTAATATGATTTTGCTAAGCTTGCTTGTTTCAAATATATTTAGAACACAAGGACTGGAATTGTGAGAAATGGGGAACTGAAAGTAGTTGACAGGTGTGGGTTCAGATGTACATGGGTATGAGGACAGTTATGGTCAGCAAAAAGTCTGCAGAAAATGCTAGATTGCTACCATCTGTCTGCGGCTTTAGGACGGGAAATGGTATAAGAGGTTGGGACCAGACCTGATTGATTTGCCATTGCCCAATAGCTGTCCTTATTGGATCTGCTATGTCATTGGTCCTCATTGCAATGAGTTTTTAACGTAAATGATGTTTATGTGCGTGTTACAAATTATTGCTGAAATAAACCTCTGAATCTTAAAGTAAGATTTGTGTTGCTGTTTTTTGTTTCTTTCATTGGATTTTTCCACACTTGGACCAAAGAGGGAGTCAAGATGGAGGAGCACATTATTAGAGATGTATTTGAAAATTAACTTAAAAAATCTACCAGCTTGTAGACCAGCTGTGTTCCAAGGATGATTAAAAAAAAATCTTCTTAAACTACTTTAGAGATGCAAACATGTGTAGAAAGTTACCAAACTATTGAGACATCTTCACAAGTAGCTGAAAATGCAGAGGAGTCAATTGCAATTTTGGAATATAAACCTGACACCAACTTTTATTATGATGGTTTAACTATAAATCTCTCAACACAACGGAAAGAAGAGTTTCAAGAAAATCTGCAACTTTTTAAAAAGACAAGTTTGGGACTTTTTCTTTATGGACCACCTAGAAACTTCAACTTCTAAGTGCAGCTGAAGAGGACAATGAAAGGTTGGAAGCCTGGAACTTCAACTCGCCTTCTGCTTGCAGCTCTGACTTTGCCACCCGGAGAAAAAGCTGTGCGGGAGAAAGACACCTGGGCCCTTCTCAGTCTGGGTTCAGGCCAGGGCACATCACCAAAACGGCATTGGTTGCAACTCTCATGGACTTTTGGAGGCCTCGGGATACACGGGATACAACCATTTTGTCCCGCCTAGACCTCTCATCAGGTTTCAATACTATTGACATGATATTCGTCTGGACCAGCTTTGGGGACTGGAAATGGGAGGCATTTCATTAAGGTAGTTCTACTTCTGCCTCCATGCCAGTGGTTCTCAACCTTTTTAATGCCGCGACCCCCAACCGGTCGTAAGTCGAGGACTACTCAACCTGTCGCAAGTCAAGGACTACTCAACTGGTGCAGCACCGTTTGCAGAATGGGACTTTTGGCGGGCTCAGCAGGGCAGAGACAGCCTGGACAATTCCTATTGGCTTTTGAAAGCCAATAGAATTAGATTCTATTCAAGAGAGTCTATTCTATTGGCTTTCAAAAGCCAATAGAATAAAAGGAGGAGCACAGCTAAGGAAAAGGGGGGGGAAATGGCGGACTGCGTTGTTTGGCGACCCCCGTGAAATGGTCGTTCGACCCCAAATGGGGTCCCGACCCACAGGTAGAGAACCACTGGTCTATGCCCAGTTCCAGTTGGTGTGGGTAGGAGAGGCTGAGTCCTAGGCTCGTGCAGTTTGGGATGCTCAGGGCTCAAGCCTTTCACTGCTCCTTTTTAACATATATGTGAAACAGCTAGGAAACGTCATCCATCCTACGATACCCAACTATGTACAGGTAGTCCTTGACTGACAAAGCTTCATGTACTGACCAATTGCTACCATTTTGTAAAGCCTTAGTAAGACCATACCTGGAATGCTATATCCAGTTTTGGTCACCACAATCAACAAAAATATGTTGAAAAAGTGCAAAGTGGAACTAAGATGATTAAAGGCCTGGAGACTAAAACACATGAAGAACGGTTGCAGGATTTGGGTATGGCCAGTCTAAAGAAAAGAAGGGCTGGGGGGGGGCATGATAGCAGTATTCCAATATTTGAGAGGTTGCCACAAAGAGGAGGGGGTCAACTCATTTTTCCAAAGCACCAGAAGGCACAAGAAACAATGGGTGGAAACTAATCAAGGAGAGAAGCAACTTGGAATTAAGGAGAAGCTTTCTAACAATGAGAACAATTAACAAGTGGAATAGCTTGCCTTCAGAGGTTGTGGGTGCTTCATCATTGGAGGTTTTTAAGAAGAGACTGGACAGCCACTTGTCTGAAATGGTATAGGGTCTCCTGCTTGAGCAGAGGGTTGGACTAGAAGACCTCCAAGGTCCCTTCCTATTCTAATTGATTGATTGCATATATATGGTTTATTGGTTTCTGTACAGGGTTTTATTGCTATAAGCTGTCCAGTGTCACACTGAGTTGGGCTGCCATATACATTTCCTTAATAAATAAAAATACATACATATTTATATCCTACCTTTATTATATGTAGAAATAACTCAAGATGGCAAACATACCTAATAGACAGCTGAGTTCCTTTTCTCTGGCCCAACATAGCAGTTCCCCTCAATGCTGGGAAAGGGAATGACCACACTGGGCCAGAAAAAGGAAGCTTAGATCTCCTGCCTCATGTTTGATACTAAGATACATATGACTACAAAGAATAAGGCAAGAAATTAAATGGTTAATTTCTCAACTTGGTGTCAAATGAGAGAAATGAAATTTAACATTCCTCCACACACATCAATTTTTGCTTTATATGGAGCTTCTTGTGTGCAGAAAGAGAGGAATTTTGTGTGAAACACTGTTCACAATCTGGACATTTGAATGGTTTCTCCCCTGTGTGTAACCTTACATGATTAATGAGGCTAGATCTAATGCTAAAATCTTTCCCACAATCCGGACACTCATATGGTTTCTCCCCTGTGTGAGTCCTCCAGTGTATCACCAAGCCAGAATTCCGAATGAACCTTTTCCCACATTCGGGACACTCATATGGTTTTTCTCCTGTGTGAATTCTCTGATGTTTAACCAGGTAGGAATTCTGACTGAAACCTTTCCCACAAAACAGACATTCATATGGTTTCTCTCCTGTGTGAGACCTCTGGTGTAACATCAGGTGAGAATTCTGATTGAACCTTTTTCCACAATCCAGACACTCATACAGTTTCTCTCCTGTGTGAGTCCTCTGGTGCATCACCAAGTCAGAATTTCTAATAAAACTTTTCCCACACTCAACACACTCATATGGCTTTTCTCCAGTGTGAGTCCTCTGGTGTATCACTAGGGTGGAATTCCAATTGAAACTTTTACCACAATCCAGACACTGATATGGTTTGTCCCCTGTGTGAGATCTCTGGTGTATTACCAGGTGGGAATTACGATAGAAACCTTTCTCACAATCTGGACATTTATATGGTTTCTCTTCTGTATGAGTCCTGCGGTGTTGCACAAGGTGGGAATTTCGAATGAAACGTTTCCCGCACTCCAGACACTCATACGGTTTTTCTCCTGTGTGAATCCTCTGGTGTATCACCAGGTCAGAATTCCAATTGAAACTTTTTTCACAATCTGGACATTCATACGGTTTCTCTCCCGTGTGAGTCCTCTGGTGCATGAGCAGTTTGGAATTTCTACTAAAAAGTTTCCCACAATCTGGACACTCATATGGTATCTCTCCTGTATGAGTCCTCTGATGTATCACCAGGTTGGCATTCTGACTGAAACTTTTCCCGCAATCCGGACACTCATATGGTTTCTCTCCTGTGTGACTCCTCTGGTGTATCACCAGCTTGGAATTCTGCTTGAAACTTTTCCCACAATCCGGACACCCATATGGTTTCTCTCCCGTGTGAGTCCTCTGATGTAGCACCAACTTGGAATTCTGCTGGAAACTTTTCCCACAATCTAGACACCCATATGGTTTCTCTCCTGTGTGAGTCCTCTGGTGTTCCACCAGGTGGGAATTCCGACTGAAACTTTTTCCACAATCCGGGCACTCATATGGTTTTTCTCCTGTGTGAGTCCTCTGGTGTACTTCCAACTCAGAATTCCAGTTAAAACCTTTCCCACAATCTGGACATTTATATGGTTTGTCTCCTGTGTGACTCCTCTGGTGTATCACCAGCTTAGAATTCTGTTGGAAACTTTTCCCACAATCCGGACATTCATATGGTTTTTCTCCAGTGTGAGTCCTTCGGTGTATTACCAGGTTGGAATTCTGACTGAACCTTTTCCCACAATCCGGACACTCGTATGGTTTCTCTCCTGTATGAGTCCTCTGGTGTATCACCAGCTTGGAGTTATGCAGAAAACGTTTTCCACAATACAGACACTCATATGGTTTCTCCCCAATATCAGTTCTTTTGTGTCTCACTAGAGTGCTTTGCATGCTAAATCTTTTGCCAGATTGGAGCAATGGTAGAGCTAATCTCCAGCATGGATCCTTCCATGAGTCATGAAGGAGCTGTTCTGAGTAAAATTTTGACTGCTCTTCAAATATTTGTATAGCTTTTCTCTGGGTAGATCATCTCACCAATGATCTGCAATCTGTGTTTTTCTGACAACAGGCAGTCTGTGGGGTTTTTCCAACAGTGATATTCTTGGATTCTTCAGGAGGCTAAAAATATTTCTAATCTAGACAGTCACTTGTCTGAAATGGTATAGGTTCTCCTGCTTGAGCAGGGGGCTGGACTAGAAGACCTCCAAGTTCCTAATCTATTCTATTCTATACTCTACTCTACTCTATTCTATTCCTTATTCTATTCCTTATTCTATTCCTTATTCTATTCCTTATTCTGTTCTGTTCTATTCTATTCTATTCTATTCTATTCTATTCTATTCTTACCTGGGGCTGCTTTGATTCAAGCCACTCATTCCTTCCTCAAAGGCTTTAATTAATAACTGCCCATTTTGGCTATCCAAGCGACCTTTTCCTTCCACTGACTTCCAGTTATTTCCACTTTTTCTTTATTTGGAAATTATCCTCCTTGATTTCTCATGTAATGCTTTCTTGAGTTGCACATACTCTGTTTTTTTCCAGCTGAAAACTTTGTTCTTGTTGTTCTCTCCCTTGTCTCTCATCAGCTAAGGAAGGAGAAGAGCTTCTACACTTTCTGGAAGAAGTGGAACAGATTTTGATTGATGCTTTGTTTTACATTTTAATGCTGCTTCTCATTCTCTGTTGTCCAGAGCGCTCTTCTTGGCATCCTCGTCTGTAAGATCCATATTAATGGGTTAGTTTAATTATTGTTTAAAAAAATGGCTTCAGTACATATGAAAGGCGCAAAAATATCCCATATGTTACTATGAAAAAACAAACATCAAAATTCTAGTTTAACCTGTAACATTATGATTCATTTGATATGCAGAAGACTAACAGATCCAAATATCAACTCAATCAGAAAAGTCTGTTTGGCTTCAGTAAATCACATATATAGTGCATTCAGAAAATATCCAAAGTATTCAGACCCTCTTCACTTCTATCAATTTTGTTACGCTGCAGCCTGATTCTACAGTTGTTGAAATTCCTTTTCGCTCATTAATCTACACTCTTAATGACAGAGTGAAAACAGAATTTTAAAAATGTTTTTAAATTTAATAAAAAGAAAAAACTGAAATATCACATCGAGGTAAGTATTCAGACTCTTCACTCAATACTTTGTGGAAGCACCTTTGGCAGCCTTGACTTTTTTTGGTTACGTGAGCTTTGTACATCTGGATTGGGGGATTTTCTGCCATTCTTCCTTGCAATCTTCTCAAGCTCAGTCAGATTGGATGGTGATCATTGGTGGACAGCTATTGCCAGATCCTTCCAGAGATGTTCAATAGGGTTCAAGTCAGGCCTCTGGCTGGGCCACTCTGGAAGATTCACAAAGTTGTCCCTAAGCCACTCCTGTGTTGTCTTGGCAAAGCTTTTCATGTCATAACCCCAAAAACGGGAGACTCTAATTGCTGCCAAAGATGCTTCAACGAAGTACTTAGTGAAGAGTCTGAATAATTACGCCAATGTGATTTCAGTGTTTTTGTTTTTAATAAATTTACAGACACTTCTAAAATTCTGTTTTCCCTTTGTCATCATGAATGTACATAGATTAATGAGGAAAAAATGAATTTCAACAACTGTCAAATCAGGCTGCAGCATAACAAAACTGACAGAAGTGAAGGAGGGCGGAGTACTTTCTGAATGCACTGTATATGGGTGCTTATTGACACAGAAATACACTCCTAAGAATTTGTTTAGGTAAAGAATTGTCTGTATTCCAATCTGCAAAAATGTCCCAGAAGTGCAGCCACTCAATTATTTTGATCTAATTTTGAAAGCGGGGGACGCTAACAGATGAAAGGGTGCCCAAATCCTACGAGAGATTGAAACCATCCGTTTTGCCCGTGAAACTCCTCGCTTGCCAAGAAAACAACCTGTCAATAAAATCACAAGGAATCAAGGGAGACGGGCGGTTAAAAATATGAAAAACAAAGAGGTTTCCAATGTCCCAAATCTCCCAGCAGAAAATGGCAGGCAGCAGTTTGAAGTGATGGGCAGAAGGGTAATAACATTTGGGGAGAGAAAGAATAGGCAGCAGCAGCCGACATCTTTCAGCCTCGTTGCTTGCTCTGCTTCCACGCCGTGGAGGAAACCAAAGAGCCCGACTTGCTCCCGGCTTCTCCTCCGACCTGCCCTCCACTCACCTCCCGGGAGGCGCTTCGACTCTCAAACCAGCACAAAAGGCTCCACCGACGCCATCCTCCTCCTCCTGTGGGCGAGCCGGAATTGGGGGTTCCTCTGTCCTCCGCCTGCTCCCCCTCCGCATCCTCTCTAGCAATCCAATACTCTATCGTTTCGATTCGTTCCAGCTCGGCCTCGCTGCCCCCGGTACGATGTCGATTCTAGCGATGCGGCTGCTCTACCACTGTTTTCACTGCTTTCTAGGCACGACTGAGGCTTCTTTGTAGATCGCCATCTAGCGACGTGAGGTTGAAAATCACGCTCGTCCTACCCTAAAGCCTTTGTTTTCAACTGCTTTCATACTTCCTTATCTGCCATCCAGTCGTATTGGGCTCCCGACGAGCTCGTCGATTGCTTTCTTCCCTGAGGATCTCTATCCCAGGGGTAGGCAACCTGGGCTCTTTTGACTCGTGGACCTCAATCCCTGAATTCCTCAGCCAGCCTAGGTTGCCTACCCATGATCTATCCCAGGGGTAAGGTAATCTGGGCTCTTTTGACTTGTGGACTTCAACTCCCAGAATTCCTGAGCCACCCATGCTGAGGGGACAGGGAGAAATTTCCAAGCTGAGCCATACTGACTCAGGAATTCTGGGAGTTGAAGTCCAAGCGTCATAAAAGAGCCCAGTTTGCCTACCCTTGATCTATCTTAATCCCTTTCTTTCAGGTCTCTCAAGAGGGACGTCATCGTCCTTCTTGCTGCATCTAAGAAAAAGTACGGCAAATCAGAAAGTGGACTTCGCTTGGGGGCTGGTGCAGATTGTTCCAGCCAGTTTTTCGTCTGGCGCGCTGCAAGATAACACCTCGAAATCCGCCTCTGCAAATGACTGAAGCTTGACCCTACCTTAGCTTCAAAAGATTAGCCAAGTGCTGAGCCCTAAAAGTTCGTGAAGCTCTTGCTTGTGTGGAGGGGAGGCCCTAAATCATTTGGGGTCGAACGACCATTTCACGGGGGTCAACAAACAACGCAGTCTGCCCTTTTTTCCCCCCCCTTTTCCTTAGGTGTGCTACTCCCTTTTATTCTATTGGCTTTTCAAAGCCAATAGAATAGACTCTCTTGAATAGAGTCTAATTCTATTGGCTTTCAAAAGCCAATAGGAATTGTCCAGGCTGTCTCTGCCCTGCTGAGCCCGCCAAAAGTCCCATTCTGCAAACAGTGCTGCAAGTTGTCTGCAGCGAAGGCGAGCTGTCTGGAAGTTTCCACCCCTCCCTGCTGAGCAACTACTAAAAATGTAAGTAAAAGAGGGCCAGGGGTGGAAGGCCGGTGGGCACACGGAAGGTTGCTGATGCGCGTGGGGCCTGGCGGGTGCCTTACCTCCCTTGGGCTGGACCAGCTGGTGGCCCAGCCGGTGGTCGGCCTGCACCATTTCTGCCGCTTGCCAGCTACGCCTCGGCCGGCACAGGGGGCAGCAGCACACATGCACGGATCTCCCGGGCAGGGAAAGTCAACTTACGACTGGTTGGCTAGTCCTCGACTTACGACCGGTTGGGGGTCGCGGCATTAAAAAGATTGAGAACCACTGCCCTAAATGGTTGCCAGCTCCATCCTATTAACAGAATAATGAAACAGGGAACAACTCAGAAGCGCCCACTGGCATTGCCGCCGAAACACATCTAAGACAGGAGGTAGATATGATCTTCCTGACTGCATTATTGGGGAGTCTAAATCTTGCTAGAAGGCAGGAACCTTTATGCTCCTGGTCTTCCATAAACAAAGAACTAGCTTTCCCTCTAAGCACTGGGATAAGAAGAGGCGCCTGCACATCAGAAGCTTGAATTGAAACCAGGTTTTTGTTTCTATGCATTTGGTTTTAATAGTTTATTGATTAGCCCATAGGCCATATCAGAATACAGCATTCCAAACATCAATTAATAAAAAAACCCTCTAAAAACAAATTAAAATGAAATTGGGAGTAAAATACAACAATTTGATACATTGATAACTTGAAATAAGATAGAATTATATTTCAGTATCACCCCTAAAATCTACCCCAATCAGTCCCACATATGCTGATCTCAGCCAAACCTTTTTACTCAAGTACTCTCCATATTAAACGTTGTTTTCAAATTCTGCCCGCACATAAGATATGTTGTATTAATATGGGATTCCCAATGGGTAGTTAGTAAGGCCAGGAGGCCTGGTTAACTTCTAAATTGAACAAAAGCAAGAATCACTCCCAGACCATCAAAATGCCATCAATCTTGCTTGAAGTGCCCTGTGTTTATAAGGCAAGTAAATGTTAACTGTGGGGGCTTTGCATTTTGCCATTTGCCATGTATGGGGTCTATTGGTTTCTGTATTCAGGTTTTATTGCTGTAAATTGTGTGGAGTCACCATGAGCTGGGGTGCCACATACATATTCTTAACCAATAAAGATAAATACCTCGCGCTTATTATATGTAGAAATAACTCTAGGTGGTTTTTAAGTAAATTAGATTGGGACCCGGCCAAAATTTTTCATAACACGGATGGCTACATAAATATTTTAAATAAATCAGAGAAAAAAAGAAACGAATGAATCCACTGAGGCTGCCCATCTGCAAGTTGCTCAAGACACTGAAGAGCTATTCATTCATCAAATTTATATGCTGCTATCTATCTATCTATCTATCTATCTATCTATCTATCTATCTAATCTGTCGTTCTGTCTGTCTCCTTGGAGAAAGGAGAAAGATTATCATTTTTAAGCAAGAACGGCACAGAGCATGAACATAATAGGCCAGAAGCCTGGTTAACTGTTAATTTGGACAAAAGAAAGAATCAGCTTTTTGAAATTCCCAGACCATCAAAATACCATCAACCTTGCTAGAAATGCCTTGTAATTGCAGACCAAGTACATGTTAAATGAGGAGGCTTTGCATTTTGCCTTGCAATATATGGGATTTATTGGTTTCTGTATTAAGGTTTTATTGCTGTAAATCATGTGGAGTCACCATGAGTTGGGCTGCCATATACATTTTCTTACTAAATAAAGATACAAGCCCCACATTTATTATATGTAGACATAACTCAAGATGGAAAACATACCCAATACAGATCTAAGCTCGCTTTCTCTGGCCCAGCACAGCAGTTCCCCTTGACGCCATGAAAGGGAACAACCACACTGGGCCAAAGCAAGTCCAGATCTCCTCCCTCATGTTTAATAATAAGACATGCTCGACTAAACAAAATCATGCAAGAAATTATTTCTCAGCTGAGCTTCCAATAAGAGACAAGAAACGAAATTCAATATTCCTCTGCACAGATCATGTGTCAATTCCTCATGTGGAATTTCTTCTGTGATAAGGGAAGAATTTTGTGTGTAAAACTGTCCACAATCTGGGTATTTGAATGGTTACTCCCCTATGTGTAACCTTACATGATTTATAAGGCTAGATCTAGTACTGAAATCTTTCCCACAATCTGGACACTCATAAGGTTTTTCCCCTGTGTGAGTTCTCATGTGTATCACCAGGCTGGAATTGTGACTGAAACTTTTTCCACAATCTGGACACTCATATGGTTTTTCTCCTGTGTGTGTCCTCTTGTGTATCACCAAGTCAGAATTTCGATGGAAATCTTTCCCACAATCAGAACACTTATAAGGTTTCTCTCCTGTGTGAATCCTCTGGTGTACTACAAGTTCAGAATTCCAATTGAAACTTTTCCCACAATCTGGACACTCATGCAGTTTCTCTCCCGTGTGATTCCTCTGGTGTATCACCAGGTTGGAATTGTTACTGAAATCTTTCCCACAATCCGGACATTCATAAGGTTTTTCTCCCGTGTGAGTCCTCTTGTGTATCACCAGGGTGGAATTGTGACTGAAACTTTTCCCACAATCTGGACACTCAAATGGTTTTTCTCCTGTGTGTGTCCTCTTGTGTATCACCAAATCGGGATTTCGATGGAAACCTTTCCCGCAATCAGAACACTTATATGGTTTCTCTCCTGTGTGAATCCTCTGGTGTACCACAAGTTCTGAATTCCAATTGAAACTTTTCCCACAATCTGCACACTCATGCGGTTTCTCTCCCGTATGAATCCTCTGGTGTCTCACCAGCTTGGAATTCTGACTGAAACTCTTCCCACAATCTGGACACTCATATGGTTTCTCTCCCGTGTGAATCCTCTGGTGTCTCACCAGCTTGGAATTCTGATTGAAACTTTTCCCACAATCCAGACACTCATATGGGTTCTCTCCTGGGTGAGCACTCTCCTGTCTCACCAGCTTGGAATTCTGACAATCTGAAAACTCACACGGTTTCTCTTCCATGTGCATTGTCTGGTGTTTCACCAGGTGGGATTTGTGACTGAATTTTTTCTCACAATCCAGACATTCATATGGTATCTCTCCCGTATGAGTCCTCTGATGTATCACCAGGTTGGAATTCTGTCTGAAACTTTTCACACAATACACTCCTATGTTTTTTATCCAGTGTGAATCCTCTGGTGTATCACCAGGCCAGAATTCCAAGTGAAAATTTTCCTACAAACAGGTCATTTAAAGAGTTTCTCCCCAGAGCGAAGTATTCCTGTGTCTCACCAGATTGGTTTGTATGGTAAATCTTTTACCACATTGGGAGCACTGGTAGAGCAGTTCCTCCTGCATCAGTTGTTATATGAATCATGGGACTGATGTTCTGAATAAAGCTTTTGCTGCACTCCAAGCATTTATATGGCTTTTCATGGGGTGGATTGATTTATGCATAAATCAGATGGGATCTGCAATCTGTGCTTTTGCCAAAATAGGCAGTCTGTGGGGGGGTTCCCCCCCAAAAAATTGATATTCTGATGAGCTCAAAAATATTTCTGATCCCTTATCTGGTGGTGCTTTGATTTCAAGACACTCTTTCCTTCCTTGAAGTCTTTCATGAATGCCTTTGGCTATCCAAGGGACTTTTTCCTTCCCACTGATGTCCAGCTATTTCGCCCTTTTTCTGAATTTGGTAATTATATCATTTTATCTTTTTATACAATATGTCCTTAAGTTCCACATAATCTATTTTTTTCTACCTGAAAACTCTGTTCCTGTTATTCTCTCCCTTATCTCTATTAGCTGAGGAAAGAGAAGAGTTTTAACACTTTCTGGAAGAAGTGGAAAAGATTTTGTTTGATGGTTTGTTTTGCATTTTAATGCTGCTTCTCATTGTCTGTTGTCCAGAGTGCACTTCTTGGCATCCTCTTTGTCTATAAGATTCACATTAATGGGTTAGTTTCATTATCGTTTAAAAAATTGCTGCAGAACCTGTGAAAACAGCAAAAAAAATCCATGTATTACTATGAAAAAAGCAAACATCAAAATGCTAGTTTAACTTCTAATATTCATTATGATTCATTAGGCACATAGAAGACTAGCAAAATCCAAGTACAAATGTCCACTCATATTTCAAATCATGAAATTCTCATTGGCTTGAGTAAATCACAAATTATTATCATTGCAAATTGTTATTAAAATACCTGAAAATACTTTACATAGATACACGTATACCCCCACCTATAAATTTATGGATGTAGATCTTTATTTCAGTCTTCAAAAGGTTTCAGAAGTGGATTCACTCAATTTGTTTGATCTACGTTTAGAAAGGTGGGGACACTAACAGATGAAATGGTGCCCAAATCCTATGCCAGATTTAAAGCATCCCTTTTGCCCATGAAACTCCTCACTTGCCAGGAAAACAACATGTCAATAAAATCACAACGAATCGTGTTAACACGAAGGCTGAGGGAGATGGGTGGTTAAGAAATATGAACAATGTATAAAGATTTCTTGAAATCTCCCAGCAGAAAGCAGTTTAAACCGTGCAGTACCAGAGTGATAACATTTGGAGAAAGAATTTGCAGCAGCAGCCGACATATTTCAGCCTCGTCCCTTCTCTGTTTCCACGCCGCGGAAGAAACCAAACAGTCCGACTTGCTCCCGGCTTCTCCTCCGACCTGCCCTCCACTCACCTCCCAGGAGCCGCTTCGACCCTCGAGACAGCGGAAGAAAAACCAACGACGCCATCATCCTCCCCTGAGTGACCGGAAGAGGAAGTTCCTGTCCTCCAAAATCTTCTCTAGAAATCCAATACTCTATCGTTTCAACTCGTTCCATCTCATCCTCTATCCTTCTAGTAGACTCGCAATGCCTCTACTGTACTGTATTCACTGCTTACGAGGCAGGAGTGTCGCTCATTTGTAGAGCGCCATCTAGTGATATACGGCTGAAAAACACGCTCGTTTTATTTCTACCCTCACGCGTTCAGAGCAGAGTAGAGTAGCAAAGGTGGAAGGGATCTTGTAGGTCAGTGTTTCTCAACCTTGACAATTGTCAAGGTTGAGAAACACTGTTGTAGGTCATCTAATCCAACCCCCAGCCCAGGCAGGAGACCCTACACCATTTCTAACAGATGGCAGTCCAGTCTCTTCTTGAAAACTTCCAGTGATGAAACTCCCACAACTTCTGAAGGGTCAGCAGCTACCCGAAGAACTTGAGGTGCCAAGAGGGCAAATCAGGAGACTGAAGTGGAGGCTTCCAAGTCAAACAGAACTTTATTTGGCCAAGTGAAGTTGCTGGGTGGAACAGTGTCTGAAACACTGGCAGCTACATTCAGAAGTGCCACAAAGTGGTCAGTTACAGATAGGCCCTTCTATTTGTTAGGAATAAAATCCTAAGATTGTAACCTCAGAGGACGGGCCAAGGCGTCGGGATAGAATGTATATAATGCGTGTTTTCGCTGTGACCAGGTGTGGCTCAAATATTTATTTGGAGTCCACCACGCTTTGCAAATCGTTGTAGCCAATAAATCTCTGTCTAATTTCAACTTGCTGTTTGGTGTTATTCAGTGGGCTAGAATTTCTACCAACAGTTTTGGCGCCCAACGTGGGGCTCGAGACCGGGATCGTTTGTCTGCACCAGATCCAGAAGGTGACGTGGAAGGCATGCCCTGTCGATTTCGACAGTCTATCTCATCTTGTTGGTAAAGGAGCAGCAACGCTTTCCTCGGCGAACCCATAGAATTGATATTAGACAGAGATACGAATTGAACCGGTGTGTGTGTTGCTGGCTTCCGGGAACTGGGCAACTCCGTGCACAGACCTAGGTAAGTGTTCTGGGGTGGCCAGTATACACTGCCTAGGCAGTTGGTGGGAAGGCTGGGTAGGCTTGTGTGAATTTGAGACAGTGTGTGTGTGACATCCCAAGTATCCACTTAGTGAAAGTGGACCTCTGATATGCGAGTGCATATCTAGGGGGATCAGGGGGGAGTGAATTAAGGAATTTACGTGAAGTCTCAATTAGAATACACAGGACGGTAAACCAGTATGGGCAACACAGGGAGTACTCCAGGAAAGAAGTGTTTGAGAAAAAGAAGAAGGAACCCCAAATTAAATATAGATAAAGAAAGTCCATTAGGGATTTTATTGAGTAATTGGGGAAAACCTCCGCATAATGAAATAATTAGTAAATTAGACATAACCAAGAAAGATATGGTTAATTTGTGTTGTTTTGTGTGGTGGGAAGATGAAAAAGTAGAGTGGCCTAGATTAGGAACAAATGACTATTTTGCTTGTCAGAATTTATATGAGTATGTGTCAAGGAAAACATGCAAATCATTAGTCAATGAGTTAGACTATGCTTTAATTTGGAACCCAGGTAAATGGGTCACCTTGACTATGAGTGGCCCTAGCCCTCATAAAATAACCTCAATATATTTACAAGAAGAAGAGAAGAATGAAATAGAGGAAGAAGAAGATGATGAAAAATCCATGAAATATTTATCCCCACTTTATAATCCTAATCTACCACAACCAACAAATGTACCAATACCTATTCCACCACCCCTACCAGCTCCTGTAACACAAGCCCAGGGAGCTGTGAGAGGTGGACCCTATAAGGTATTAGTAAAAGAATTGGAACAATTGAAGAAAGATATAAAGAATTTTCCCTTTAAGGATAAACCACTACAGGCTTTTCCTTTAAGGGAAGTACCCAATGGAGTAGATGGCCAAGGACAGGCTCGTATCAGTTTTGTACATGAGCCTTTAAAGGCATCTGAATTACGTGCCTTCAAGAAAGAAATGAAAAGCATGATAGAAGATCCAATAGGGGTAGCAGAGCAACTGGATCTGTTGTTAGGAGCAAACATATACACATGGGATGAATTAGGAGTGATACAGAGCACGTTATTTACAGCAGAAGAGAGACAGTTAATTCAAAGAGCAGCTCATTTGGTCTGGACTAGGGAACATAATCCCCAAGCACAGGGGGCAATTTTGGCAGATGTAAAGTTTCCTGTAGTAAGACCAAATTGGGATAATAATAATGCTGCAGATAGACAAAACATGGAAGATATGAATTATTAATAAGAGGAATAAAAGAAGCTGTCCCAAAAGCACAGAACATGAGTAAAGCTTTAATGATAGAACAAGAAAAAGAAGAATCTCCAGCTACATTCCTCCAAAGACTGAAAGACGGAATGAGGAAGTATTCTGGAACTGATCTAGATGACCCAGCAAATACTCTTCTGGTAAAAATACAATTTGTGGTAAAATCCTGGCCAGATATAAGTAAGAAATTACAAAAGTTGGAGGGATGGACAGGGAAAAGTATAGATGACTTATTAAAGGTAGCACAAAAGGTATATGTGCAAAGGTATATGTAGAGAAATTTAGGCAACAGAATAAAATGATGGTTCTAAACCAAGTAATAAAACAAAAGGAAAAGAATACAGAAGGAAAATGGATATTACCTGATGAATAGCAGGTGTTGAATAAAGTCATAACACGTGAAGTAATCCAAACACTCCATGAGGGTTTTAGAAGACGTGTTTCTGAAAGGTATGGCTACAGGAGAGTTTTCACTGTTGTGAAACCATAACGGCCGGATGTCTCATTTTGCAAGAAAGTTAATAGGCAAGCTCTAAGAGCAAAGGAAATTGGGAAAGGAAAGGAGCTCATTGACTTTTGAACAGTTCCTTAAAATTATAATAATAGTTATTTGTTTGCCAGGAGAAAGTATGAAATGAAATATCTGTATGTGAAAGTGTTTATACAAGCAGTTTGAATGGAAGTGAATGTGTGGCTATGCTGATCCTGTGTGTGTGTGTGTGTGTGTGTGTGTGTGTGTGTGTGTGTTTCTCCCCCATCCCAGACTGTGAAAGAAACAGTAAACTGAAGATTTTTTTTGTTGTTACTGTAAAAGTGAAATGGAAAATGCATGTGAAGAGAAAACTATTTTGTTAGTGGTGAAATTGTTGCATAATTTCTTCTTCTTTTCCTGTCTCTTTCCCCCCCACCCCCAGCTGGCTGTGTTGCTTTAAGAGCAAGAAAGACAGAAAAGAAAAGGGGGGTCTGATCTTTTTAACTTTTTTTTTCTGCTTAGAATTCTGGTTTGAGGAAGGTGAGCTGGATGTGAAATTTAATACCCATTCTTGCAGTAAGAAATAAGGTTATTTTTTTTAAAATAAATGAAATATGAGAAGAACTGGAATACACCTATATAACCATTAACCAATAGAAATGACTTTGAATTGATTCGTTTAGATTTATAAATGATTTAACCTATTTAATGGAAATTTGTTTCCATCTGAATGGAATCTGATTAAATTGGAATTTGACAAAAATTATATTAAAACCAAAGAGTTGATACTAGAGTTTGATACAAAACTATTTCAGTAACTCAGAATATTTTATTAAGCTTGTTTATTTATTTATTTTGTGGAGTTGCTTTTTGTTGTTGTTTTATTTGTTTTTTTATGTTTTTATCTCTGTGCAGGACACACTGATAAAAAATAAATAAATAATAATACCTAAGAGAATTGAAGGAATTATAATTCAACCCTTGTTTAAAATGAAGGAGTTGAGGAAAAAATTTTTTGGGGATTATAAATGAGCTATGTTGTTTTGAATAAAGATTTGTATGCAAACAAACTCAAGCAGAGTTTCGTGAGCGCTCCTTTGTTGGCTCTTTACTAAGTAATCTGTTTGTAAATACATACGGACAAAGGAATGGCTAGGGGAGGGATAATTGATACTTTTCTATGGTTAATATATGGTTGGTTATACAATAAGTATGATATGTAGACAAATATATATAATGTTCTATAACATCTAATGGTGAGGCTATTTCAATGTATTCAAGTTGATTTTAAATTACCTCAAGTGGGAAATTCCACAATATGAAACTCAAATGACTTGGATAAAATGTTTACCTTTAGTATTGTTGCGAATAAGAACACAACCACAGAAAGATTTAGGATTGTCTCCTTATGAGTTGTATGGTGTGTCATTTATGCCTGGAAACATTTCCATGGACTCTTTAGTAACAAGGGATAAAGTAATAAGACATTATGTGCATAAACTGTCGCAGTATCTTGATCATTGCAGGAAACAAGGCTTGCTGATCCAAACACCCCCTTGGGAATTTCCTGTCCACAAGTTTGAGGTGGGACAGTGGATCCTGATCCGAATGTGGAAGGAGGAGAAATTGCAACCTAAGTGGGAAGAACCATTCCATGTGTTGCTGACCTCTGAAACTGCAGTTCGGATGAAAGAAAAAGGGTGGGCTCATTATACACGAGTGAAGGGACGAGTAGCTGAACCAAAAGGACAGTGGGCCTGTGTTCTGGGTGACGACTCGTTTAAATTGATACTGTGTAAAATTCCTGTTTAAATGTGTTGGTACTGTGACTGTAAATGCCATGTTGATTGTTGTTGTTTCCATTGTATTGACTGTGTAAGATGTACTGGATGTGAAGAACATTTTGGACCATACGATATAGTACTCATTGAAAAGAAATTGAAACCTTTTGAGGAATATACTGAGACATTGACTGGAGTGGTAAGATATACTCTAAAAGATATTCCTTCAATCCAATTAATCCAGGAAGAACAACGAGAAGCCTTTATAAAATATCACAGTTTAGAAGAAGATTAATATAAAATATAATTAATATAAATTAATATAAAATGTGAATATTTGTCCCTGGCTGTATATCTCTCCCTCTCTAGGGAGGGATATAGAAGAGCAACAGAAGCAGAAGGATGTGAAGCCTGCATTACCAATGCCACCAAAGGGGTGTATATTTCAATCTATATGTCAATTAAATAAAACACAATATTCAGTTTGTAAGGGAAGAGACAAAAAGAGATACAATGCTATGATCCATCGATGCCAACATATTTGAATTTCAGTATATATGTGGGTTTAGCTAAAGTAGGAGTGAGACAGAGACCTGAAGGTGAAGAAAGATTAATACACGTTAATTCTACTAAAATATT